AAGGGTGTTCTAAAATTCTTTCTTTTGGAAAATTTAATAACTCTGTAAATATTGATGTTTAAAGAATTTAAATGTTTAATACAACTTTAAAAAGTTATCCCCTATATGTGTGTTCATTTATTGTCGCGATGGTAACGACACGCTGTATAAGGGTGAGTTCTAAAACAGTTGTACGACTGCGATGCAGCCGTAACACATACAAATCGCACCACGCATTGTAATTTCCTTTGTTGAAAATTGTAGGTTAATTAGCAGCCATTCAGATAAATGAAACACGCATGGATAGTTTGACTTTTAATTACTCTAGTTCAAACACCAAATTTCTATAAACATTAGCTATATTGACTACTTAAATATTAGCTATTTTGACTACTTCACTCGTCATACATATAATCATGATTATATTGTGTAGCTGAGAATAGCAATACATCGATATTTTGTACAGTACCTAAGCCAACTCATATATAAATTATGCATTACAAACACTTATTAACATACTTTCCCAGCATTTAAAAAATCAAATGCTCATAGTATACAGGGTGGCTTTTCTAAAGGTGCCCAAATTCACACAGGAGGTTCAGACTCGGTAGTATAATCGTTTATTAAAATTAAAACAAACTTTTTTTCTTATTTTTTTTCAAAAAAAATTGCCATTCTATTCCCTAAAAAACAGATTTTAAATATTTATCATTTTTATATTACATTACTTATATCTAGAATTTAATAAAAAATGGAAACACTTAGAAAAGCCTCCCTGTATAAAATAACGTTAGTTTATACACTAAAATCGGAAAACAACATTCCAGTAAATTCTCTATAACATTTAAATTCTGGCGTTATGGGAGTATGAATGGTGTCAAAACTAAACGAGATTACTATTCACTGACAACTTCTTTATCATCCAAGAACTAACTAATTAATGGAAATATAATGCGATTTAACACAGGACTGACCTCGCACCATCTTGTGACGTCATAGCTGTAACTTGTTTGGACACATTTTTACGCAACATTCTCTAGTCCCAAACTAAGCAAAGCTTGTACTATGGGTACTAGAAAACTGATAAACATACTTAAACATACTTTTCTTTTGTAAATAAATACGTATTATACATATATTAACACCCAGAAACTAGAAAAATACTATGTTCATCACACAATATTTATCCAGTAGTGGGGATCGAACCCACACCCTCTGGCGCAGGAGGCAGGTACACTACCCACAACGCCATTCGGGTCGACAATTCAGACCAGTTAGGTTTTGTATTGACTAAAAACTGAAAACTATAACTGTCGACTTTGAATGCCCTTGAATACTTTTGAACATTGTGAAAGAAGCTATTCATGAAAGTTAAAATAAGAATACTGAAAAAACAATACTATATGTCGTACAAAAGAACATCAACAAACATTTTTTTTACATACACACACATGAAAGAATTTTAAGTTTCGTTTTAAAATACTCGTTATGTTTATTAAAATGTAAGAAAATAGGTTAACGTTTACGTTTAATCTTTCGTTATTTGGCAATAATATTTTTTTAATTAATTTACAAAAGGAGGCAAAGACCAAAGTAAGAAATTTTAACCAACATGCGGCTTATGTTCTTACAAAAGTGTATTAACAATTTATTTGTGCATATACCTAATATTGATAATAGTGATGAATTTTAATGTGATCAAACTTTGAACATTATATCGTAAGGTAGATCTATAACGAAGCTGATACACAGGGCATCGTAAAATATATTTTAAGTGTAATATATATTTATTTACAACTAAATAAATCTATGCATACTGATTATTCGTCTTATTATTAATGTATTGTTATCTGCACTAGTTTTTTTCTTCATTGAAAAATATAATCTCGTGTCTGTTTTATTACTAATAACATTTAAAAAATGTTTTTTCTAAACACCACAATTTACATTTTAAGTTTAAAAATAATTTTGTCGCATAATTTATGCAAGTGAAAGATCACTTGCCCATCCTATACTTAAATCACTTTCTTAATGTTTTATACTCCTTATTTTATTCATTTCATTTGATTAGTTTAATTTTTAAAAACCTTAATCCCTAGAAAGCGTCTGCACCTACTAGAAATACGGTACAGGCAGCCTAAAATGCCTTGGTGTCCATAACGCCGCCTTGACACGATGAAGTACACTTGGACAAAGAAAATTTGACGTCTATTCAGACGTTATTTTGACAGTTGCAGCACTGATCAAAATTTACTCTGTAGGAGTGAATTAAACTAGGTTAAATCGAATACCTAATACGCCTGTTCCTGTTACTTAACAGCAACAGTGACAAATACCTGTTACAAAATAACAACCTGTTATTTCGTATTATGTTGTGACAATTTGTGTAACTGTTACCATAAATTAACATACTGTAACAGCTGTTAAAATATGCGACTATGGTGACTTCCGTACTTCTCTTTCTAACAACGCTATATGACTGATGCAAGATGAAGAAAGAGCTTGTGACAGTGACAAAGTGTTCAGTAACAGCTGTGACAGGGTATAACAGTTTTTATCTCTTTCTAAGTCAACAGTCGTATGCATGAATAAAGAAAAGCTTATCAGCGTTTTAGTAACAATTTGTGTGGAACAGGAACTGTTATTTAATTTTTTTCGTTACAGGTACAGTCTGATATTCTTGATACCTGTCATAATTATCTGTTAAGATAAATAAACCTCACTCCTAGAACTCGAAGGCGGCCTCCAATCGAAAGTGGATTTGGACTGCGTACAACTTTCCATAGTCTACTTGGATGTCAGTTGATAAACAAAATAGTGTGAAGTGCAAAAAAATCTTTCATCTCGACTGCATGACAATCTTCTTCAGTGAAGAGCTGTGCTATTGAATAAGGAAAATGATCAAAGCTGCTTGTCAACTTGTACTTGTACGATTGTACTTTGATGATGTCAACGCTACATAAAAGGCTTGCCACGTCAGCCTGAGGGTACGCTGAGCCTTGCGTGTAACCTGTATTTACTACAGTCTACAGTCGCAATTTATTTTCTCGAACAGTACACCTTGCCTCGGAAGGATACGAGTAATTCTGAGGCAATTCTGAGACTACTAATATGGCATGCTTTATATTTGTACCTACCAGGATAATCGTTGGAATTTCAATATTATCTTTATCTTATAAATAAAATCTAAAGGTCTTCCTTCCGTCGTGCGAACATCATGAAAAATATACTGGTTTAATTTCAATCAATTCTTCTTAGTTCTATTTCTGATACACTATGCCCTTTTAGATAAAGTAATATACGATATTTTCATTTAATTTAATGCTATTAAAGTTTTGTGGAACAACGATTTTTATAAGCACTACATGTTCATTGATGTGTTATCTTGCCGTGAAGAAGTGGGGCAAGTGGTGTAGTTGTTCATAGATAGATAGTTTGATTATATTTCTTATTCGTCGCATAATATTTTAGTCTTACCATGTCGTGGACGCAGGTTATGAATTTCTAGCTCTACTGATCAGCTGATCTGTCTATATACCATCTTTGAAAATATAATTTTTCCTTAATATAAAGAAAATTAGCTTATTCGTGTAATAATGTTATTTTTACAGTAACAGTGCAGTAGTTTAAGTGCCTCTACTTATGTTGGTTTCTTGTTTCTTACGTTCGCTAATATGAGGTTATTGTTAACATTAGCGACACGGTCGTATTTTCTTTCCTGGAGAAGTGATACAGGATACTTAATATTAAAAACATCATCCATACTAATATTATAAATGCGAAAGTAACTTTGTCTGTCTGTCTCGCTTTCACGTCAAAACTACTGAACCGATTTACCGATTAAATGAAATTTGGTACACAGATAGTCTAAAGCCTGAGAAAGGACATACCCTATTTTTTTAATTGGAAAAAATGGTTGTTAATGGTTGAAAATATCTTTCTTTAAAAAAATACATGTAGTTTTTAAAGAAAGATATTTAGGAGTATTTAATAATTTCAAGGCGAGCGAAACCGCGGGCGAAGAGCTAATTATTTATAAATTAGGTTCAACATTTGTTTATTTCACACTAATAGGTTCATTCGGTGTAATTACATATATTGAGGAGCCACTTACGCAAGACGTAGCTAATTGCAAGATTTATTTAATTTTTCTCAAAATCTAAATGTCCAATTTGTACCTCGTTGTTATTGTTTCGGTTATATTTCTCTATCAATTAAAAATATTTTAATAAGATAGACGAGCGTGCCGGTAATGTAAACAATTACCAAAACAATATCCCGACTTCCCATCACTATCATAAAATCATCGGAGCTTACATCACGATTTGGACTCTGCTGTTCAATTACAACGTAATAAGGATGTCGAAAGTGAAGAAATATATCGGTATCTATAAAAACATCAATATCGGCTTTGACATTACGAACAGAAAATATCGAATATCGTTATATCGATACTTTCTCTCTAGGCCCCGTTTAAAAAAAAAAAACGTTTTGCGTATTGCATATTTGAGATCACCAAACACTTTGCCGGATTCGAATGAAAAACAATATCGTTTTTGATACGATTTAGATATTGAATATTTTATATCGATATGTCGGATCCAAATGTATTAGCTAAAAATATCGATAAATAAAATCAAAAATAGCGATATATCGATATTTTTCGACATCCCGACAATGTAAAAGCAGCTAGAGTCCACAACAGTCATACCTACGCCAAGATTTCAATACTAATTTAAACAAAGCAGCACGGGATCAAGCCCAATCAACAAAATCACGTTAGCACAATCCGTATTCACACAAAATAGGCTTGAACAGAATGAACACCACGGTCCTATTCAATTAGAACAAATTGGACTAAACAGTGTCCGTAATCACTGAAACACATTAGAAGTCAAAGTTTAACACCATCGCCCTCCGCAATCGCAGTGCTCCGTGTAACACGCGTGCGAAAAGTCCGCCTGCCGGTCAACGACTGGGCCAGAGTTGTCGCCAGCCGCCGCCGCGAACGGGTGGCGCTAAGGGGGCGTCATACTGCCGCCGTACTCGGGGGAAGCGCCGCGGCCTGTATTTTCGCGCCATTACATAACTAACATAGATAATAGATAACGGCACTGACGTTTGCGTTATGTCATATGTATAACCAAAAAAAGCGTATACTGTCTCGAATATAACTAACGCATATAATCAGCAGTCTTTTATTGCATATAACATTACATAACACGTAAACTGTAAATTATAAATTTTTGTAAATAAATGAAGGCTAAGGCCAATGACCTCACGGCACTAAAACTAGATCAGGACTGAAAATAAAAATTAATCTAAATATACTTAGTTATAATATTGTTAACTGTATGTATGGTAGGTATTTCATATTGACGTAGCAGACGGCGATTAACGCATCATATGCAAACATCTTAGTTCTTCTTGAGGTGCTTCGCCATTACTGGAGATTCGCCGTCAATTGTGCAAGTCTGGCTCTATCGCACTACAAGAAATAATACCTGTACCCTCCACTTATTTATCATAGACGATAAAAGGGCTCGCTTCATCGAATGTTAACGTTCAACAATGTAATATATCCGAAACTTTAATTTTACTTATCTTTGAAGTTGAAAAGAAAGTTCACTATGAAATGTAAAAGTTTACTATAGGATAACATTATCCTGTGTTATAAGGACGTTTGATATTTATTAGTGTGGCATACTGACGCCATCTATTATTGTTGATTAGAATTATGTTTAAGCAACATTTACGTGGTGCAAACAAAGTAAACGTAATTAAGTAATTTTCTCATAAATTCAATAATTAATAATTAATTATTGAATTTTAAAATATGACAGTATATTAGTAATTACTCCCGTCGGTGCCGTAGGATCTACCAACGTATCTACAAACAAAATGTCCCGTATTCATGCTTCGACTTGTGTCGACTCTTCGACACTTCGAGTGTTGAAAGTTTAACTAATCAGCTGTTGTGATTGGAAATCAAAAGATGGCTTCTGTTACCTCGGCCCCTGCCCCGGCCGCGGCCCCTGCCCCTCCCGCGGCCGCGTCACCTCCGCCCGTCGCCCAAACCCACCATGTCTGGAGAAAAATCTATCGATTTAATGACTGTTAAAGTTTTTCTACAAATTTTAATGTTTAATCTTAAGGGCAGAGATTACCTCTATAAAAAAATGTTCATTTATAAAAAGCAATGGCGACATCTCTCGTTCGAATTATCGTTGTAAAACGATATTCGAAATTGTTTGTACGCTGGAAAGGATATAGCAATGGATGCCCCAAGCATTGCTTCAAATGCTAAAAAAAACGTAGATAAAATACGTTAAGATTTTCGTCGGTGCGGCAGTCAGCCGTTCAGCTTAGTGGCTAAAGCGTCAGGCCGCGAATGCCGAAATGGGTTCAATTCCCACAGCGGCGACAATCTTTTCGTACTTTTTCTACAAATTTTAATGTTGAATCGTAAGTGCAGAGATTAGCAGTATAAAAAAAATTCTAAAGAGTATTTACCCAATCATACGTCTCTACATTTCTTTAATTATTAAAATTAAAGCTACACTAATTTTACTCGCGTCACATGATAGTTATGTCTGTAAACGTTGTTTGCCATAAATCATAATAATGTAAACAATTTATTCATAACGACGGTTAATAACTATAGTTTAATTTCTTATTTCATGGCCAATTTTAACTAAACAATTTGCTAATATTTCGTAATCGCCTGAACTAGGGTAAATGTAAATTGTCATTCAATTACGACCTTTAAGAACATTTGTTACTCCGTTATTTCATTATTAACGAATTGTAAGCATTTGTATTTGAATTTATTAACCATATAAGAAGGACCTAGAATATGTTTGCAATATAAGTGCTATCGTTTAGTCTAATAAAATAACTAAACAATAAAAAAAATTTTTTTAAACATAATAAGTTACATAGGAAATTAAATATAAAATATTGAGTTGAGTCTCACCTATATTGGTAGCGGTCTTCTCCAAATAAGCCAAGGGTCCCTGCAAAGCTGGACCCGCGTAAGCGCCGCGACCCCCAGCGAGGAACATCCCTTGAGCGAGGCTGTTCTGCATCTGCAAACATAAAACCTCGACCGCTCGACTTGCAGCGAACTTTCCTGACAGCCAAAGCAGCAACTGTCAGGCTTTTAAAAGATATATTTAATAAAGACATGTTGTAGATAAGATTCTCGGCCCGGCTTCAAAAAATTTAATATACTCACGTTTTTTTTTTCGAATTGAATAGAATTTTCGATTAGTGACTTCTTTCAATAATGATCATTTTCATTTGAAAAAAAAAACAATATCTATTACTCTGGGGTAATGTAGTTTGTCATTACAACAAATGTTCAAACTTGGGTTTATCACTTTCAAAATATGTATTATGTATAATTATTTTATTTATTAAAATTTGGTATAATTATGTAATTATACCAAATTTTTAAATAGAAACAATGTTTTATCTACTCGAACAAAAATCGAGCGTAAAACACAAAATTGTTCATTGATCTACAACAAATAAGTTGAAACGTTTTGTTTTTTTTTAAACGTTTTGTTGTAGAAAATGTCCTTTTATCCCTGTTTTAATGGAATTTTCTATAATTTTTCTTTCTATACCAGATCATTACTTTCTTTATTTTTTTGTCGATTTTGTTACTTTTTTTCCCCTTTTTTTTAAAGTTCCTTCTTTTGTGAAAAACACCAGTTCATATTTTCTTATTATTACGTCGGTAAGATCGAAAAATATTATGCATATTTCATTACTCAGTAATTTGTATATAAATGTAATTTCCAAAATACACGATTTACCAAAAAAGAAACAAACCGAGCAAAGCTCCTCTACTAGTCCTATCCGGGCGGTCGCCTATGTTCAATACAACCTTAGTTCTTTAGCGTTTAAGTAATTTTGCCTTTTCAGTGACGACACTATTTCAGAACTATAACCATTCCACGAGTTGATTATACTCTTTTTTTTGTGTGTCAATAAGTTGTTCATGAGGGGGTAGGCGGTTCGATGTTATGTAATTAACGCCGCCCATTGTCGTTTACACTACCTGAACCCTTTTCCCTCACTCACAAGATAGTTCTGCCTCACGATGATCTCCTGAGAGGCCGTGGTACTTCCTCGGACGAGCCTGCCCATTCGTGCAGTATCGAATCGTTTGACACGCAAGTGCGCAGAAATTGTTACTTCTTGTTCACTTTCACCTGTTTAATTCATCATCATCCTCCTGCCCTTGCCCCACCTAGGTGTGGTCGGTAGAACATGTTAATCATGTTGTAACGTCAAGCCACCCTGGGAACAAACACCCAGATCCGGAACAATTATATGTGTATCACACAAATACTTGTCCCGTGGGGAATTGAACCCACGACCCCCGACGCCGAAGCCAATAGCTTAACAACGGCGCCACCGAGTTGCCACTTGCCTCTCATTATCTGATTTGTTTTCTGAATAATTTGGACTCGTGGGATAGTCAAAACCCACGAGTTTGAAACGACCCTCCTCGTTTGGTAGGGGCGCGCATGTGCTCATGCGTGCGTTGTTTTAGGCGGGAATGTCACATTCGGGTCATCGAGGTTCGGTACGGACCGTGACCCAGATGGCCGTTGACTGTGTTAAGCTAATAGGCGGCTGGGGACGGTGAGAACCGCACTGGAACGCTTATACCTTGTGTACTCATTGTGTTGGTTTCGCTGTGCTCAAAGGCGAGTACGGACTAGGGTGTTTGTTGTAGCACTAACTACAGTGTTGTTACAACCGCAACATTAAATTAACACACTTCTAACGCTACTTGCCAATAATCATAAAAATACAAACTTAAAAAAAATCCATGATTAAAAAAAATAATTTTCAAACAAATTATTTAAATAAAAAAGGAAACAAAATTTGTAACATCGTATACAGCTACAACTGAGTGATTCATACATTCAGAGACTTTTTCAGTCATTGCCACAGCGTCGCGTTACAAGTCTCTCCTTCTAACAGTATGTTTTATCTCTTAAATTCATTCAAGCCATTCATATTATGCTTTGTGACCTTTACAAATGAGCTTTACGTTACAGTTTTATACGAATGTAGTGTTCTAAAATTTTTTGTTTGGAAAATTTAATAACTCGGTAAATATTGATGTTTAAGGAATGTAAATGTATAATACAATTTTAAAAAGTTATCCTCTATATGTGTGTTCATTTATTGTCGCGGTTGTATGTGTAGACCTCCGACGGGTAGTCCTAGTTTCTCGTTTGCCTCCCTGCCCAAATCGCTCTGTCCTGCTCTCACTACTCATTTGTGTATAGTCGCTAGAAACGTACGTGTCATCTTTTATTAACGTTTTGAGATATTAGGTAATTTTGTCCAAGCGATAGCAATAGTTTCATCGACTAGTTATGAATTTTCAAATAAACGATTTAGAAAATATTCACAATAAAGTTTGCCTCTATTTTGATTGCACTGTAATGACGGATTGAAAAATGTATCTTGTTGTCAGTAAGTAAACAATTAATGAAAAGGAAAATGGTAAGTTCTATAATAACAATTAAGAAAATCATTTGTACGACAGACACGTGCAAGTCTAGAGCGAACAAGAAATAGAACCCTGCAATTGCGCACTCAACAAAGATTTCGCAGACTACGTGCTCCAATGGTGTTTAAAAATAGTTATTAAAAAGCTAATTAAAAATACTAGATGGCGCTAGTTTGCTACAAGCACACTCAATGTGCTTCATTCTAAAATAGCACTATATCGGAACTTCGGCATTCGAACTTAAAATTCAAACAGAGCAAAATAAAATATAATTTGAACATTTATGTTCTTTCTCTACTGTGTGTTGAAAAGTAGTTGCTACCTATAATTAAGGTACCGCTCATCACGTTTCTGTAAATCTTGATTCTACTTCGGTGTGTAAATTGTTGGTGATAAATAAATAGATAAAATGCAGGTGAAACATTACAGACTACAAGCATGAAAAAAATTAAAGGAACGTAAATAAAAAAAAATCAAACATCAAAAGTAACTAAAAAACGTATTTTTATTTAGAAATAAAACAGTGCTCTTAAAGTAATAATGGAGAAGTGCTTATCTACTAAAAACTTATAAAAATACACATTTTTATCAGTGACTGGTCACAAAGAAAAAAAATCATTTTTTGTGTTTATTTCTTCATCTTATTAACAAGTGCAGTATCTTGTCGTTCATAAACTGTACACATTATACGCAAGAAATCTTAATCGAAAATTTATTTTAATAACTTTTTAAAAAGTAACCATAAAATGTTAGCGATGGATAATTAAGGCCCATTTACACGATGCCATTTTCTTGTACATACAAGAGCAATAATTGAATGCAATAAATTGCACGCAATAATTGGTTAGACCATTTGTTGTTTAGACCATGCAACTCATTTATTGCTTCAATTTAATTGTATACAACAGGCAAGAAACTTGCACCGTGTAAATGGGTCTTAAGTCGCAATTAAAATGGTAGGTAATATAATCGTGTAACAAAATCTCAAACAGGAAAGATAATATTACACTTTTTTCAGTAACAAATGTTTTTTTTTAATTATCCTAATTTATCACATTTGATTATTTGTCCCGCTATTTTTTTAACAAATACATATTTTTTTTAAACAAATACTTTTACCAAAACTAAATTACGTATATATGTATACTAATACAAATAAAAAGCTTTATTGAGATCTTTGCAAACAAAATTTCAATTCAATCATTAAAGAATTAAAATTAAAAAAAAAATAAAAATCTGCAAATAAAATATTTTCTACGAAAAAAGCCCAGTTTAAAAATTTTATTACTTCTACACATAATGTAGTCACTGAATTTTTAAGAAACATTTGATTAGAAGAAAAATAAACATGAGATTTGGAAGGTACAACCATCATTTATAATTAATATGATTATGAATTATCACTAACTATGTTTGTAACGCACCTTAGACGACACACGTAGACGAGAAAGACAGACGCACCTCGAGATTTTTTTACATTTATGCTGAACCGACAACTACTTGCCGTCCTTTTCTTTCCTTACTGCTTTATTTACGCTATCCTTTTTATACCATTCGAACGAAACGTATGCTGTCTCTCTGTTTGGAAATGGGAACATTTTCGGTATGTACCTATACATTTCCGGGGATTTTGTAGGTATGTTTATAAAATATCTATAGTATCAAACTTTGATTACAAAATATCAATGATTGTATACGAGAATTTTTACTTAAATATTCTTTTTCCTTACATTCCGATCTCTTGCAATGTACAGAAAATAATAATGAATATAATTATTCACATTGCTAGATTTTCATTTAAATTGTAATCTAGTCACAAATTTGATTTAAGTTTTCTTAATATCTATAAGGTAAGGTTATTAAAGTTTCGCTTTTTTTATTACAACGAACGCATTATTAATACCAAATGAAAGTTTTCCCTAGAGAAAATAGTAACGTAACCTATAAATACAGTAAAAGTATTAATTAAAAGTTAACTACTGCACAACATCGGACCCGGTACAATTATGTTTAGATCGTACAATAACACCTAATTATTTGCCTACTGGAAACACACAGCGTTAATGTGAAGAAGCTGCTTGCGAATCTGCCTTCCTAGAGCATATTTCAATAAAACATACCTGTGTTATCTGTGGTTTCCATGACTGTTACCTCCTTGATGCCAGCAGGGGGCGCTGACGCCTATACTGCGGCGGCAACCGACAGCTTGTCTCATAGCGTTTGTGAATTTTGCCGCGAAAAGAGCAAAATATATAATACTTTAATAGTTAGTGTTTAAAATAATTTAAGTCTTGGTAATAATAGGCCAACTCTTCTGTTAATAATTACGTCGTTATTTAATAACGTATGGTATATGCGTGTCAGTAGTTTACGAAATATTAGTATAATATTTGGATATGGATCCTAAAGACGATTCTGAGGTGCCTGTCGCTGCTCCGGAGGGAGAGCGGAGCGCCTTGAGCTCAAGCTCATCGCAGAGTAGTGCTTCCTCATCTTCGGGAGATGAGGAGGGCATTGCTTCACCGCCACCGAACAAGCGGTCAAAATGCAGCAGGTCGAAGCAAGTCGTGACGTGTTCGGACCCGCGCATGGACACGCTCATACATCAAGTAAGTTTTTTAACTGATTATATGTCACAGATGCCGCAGTTACTTAGTGAATTAAACTCTAATAATAATCTAAATATACCATATAATAATCTAAATAGTACCATGCCATCTACTTCCAATGATAACTTTTTACAAAGACCAGATTCACCGTACACAAATAAACATTTATCCTTAGGTGAAGTTAAATTAAATATTGATGAAAATAGATTAGTATCAATAGCCAATCCTGAAAGGCTAGCTGAAATTAATACCTTGCAACAATTTAATTCTCCTGCATGGCATAATATTCGTTACAAAAAAGCCTTGCAAACTTGTATTGCTTCGCCAGGTTTTGTTAGTTTAAAGGTAAATGATGAGTTATGCCATTACAATAAGGGAAAAGATTATCTTCAAGGAACAGAGCAAGTTCTAGCGGCCTTATCAAACCAAGTTCTAGAAGATAGGCAACTTTTAAAGTTGGGCCTACAAGAGTTGGTAGATTGGGCCTCTAGTAATAAGACTGAATTGAATGCTAATAAATTATATGAAAAGATGTTAGTTGTTTTTGGTCCTGGTTCTGCCTCATACAAAAATAAGGAAACAACTCTGCAACTCATATGTGGCAAGAGAGCAGAGTGTATAGAAAATAGGCGTGAACGTATATTAAAGGAAGTAGGGAATGTCAACCTTAAACAGGCTTTAAGAAATATACCTCCTAGTGCAGAGCATTTGTTTAGCCGACAAGGACTAATACCATTAGTTGAGTCATTAGGGGGTACACATGTGTGGCTCAATACACCAGACTACATGAAGGAAAGACGGGGGTTTACTAATAACTATAACAGCAGGCCTAATAACGTTAAAAAGGGTACATCCCACAAAGTTCATAAAAACCATATAAAAGATAGGCGTGACCCAAATAGAAGGAACAAATATAATCATAAAAAAGGAAAGCCCTTTCGTAACTCAGAATTTCAATCCCATGGTCCATCAGCAAATGGAAATCAAAAGTGACAATCAACAGGTATTCAAAGGCGGTTGCTTGAAGGATTATGTTCACATATGGGAACAAATGGGTGCCAGCCAATTCATAATAAAAGTTATATCAGAAGGCCGTATTCCATTCAAATCCAAGCCCCCTTTGCAATACCCATACAAAAATTTTCTGAAAAAATTTTCTACAAAAACATCACATCAAATGACACAGGTAGTACTAGATTTAAAAGAAAAGGGCATATTGGAAAAACCAGCGGGGATGAGTCCAGGTTTTTATTCTCAGATGTTTTTAATAAAAAAACCAGATGGGGGTATTCGCCCCATTTTCAATTTGAAAAGTCTCAATTTACATGTGGCAACAAACCACTTTCAATTAATCTCTCAAATGGATGTAATTCAATTCTTACAAATCAAAGATTGGATGATCAAAATAGACCTTCAACAAGCTTATTTCCATTTGTCCATCAGAAAGTCCCACAGGCGTTTTTTTGCGGATAATATATGGAAAAGAAATTTTACAGCTTACAGCACTTCCTTTTGGCCTTTCGTCAGCGCCTCACGTGTTTTGCCTCGGTTACCAATTGGATTGCGGAAATCCTAAGGAGACAAGGCATAAGAGTGCTAGTTTATCTAGACGACTTTTTAATAGCCAACCAGTGCAAGTCTGCCTTGGTAAACCAGACAGTAACGGTTATAAACACATTAAAAACAATGGGATGGCACATAAATTTGAAAAAATCCATTCTAAACCCGACTCAGGAACTAGAATACTTAGGAATAAGCTGGAACACAAGTACAAATATGATGTCATTACCTTTAATCAAAATTGCAAAAATAAAATTGATTATATCTCTCCTATTAACAACAAAAACAGTTTGTCTCCGAGATGCACAGAAACTACTAGGCTCACTGAATTTTGCAAACATCACAACTCTCAATGGTCGCCTGCATTGTCGCAGGATTCAGATATTTCTGAGATCCTTTGGAAGGGTCCGGCCAAGGGAAAAAAACTACCTTTACCACACCTGGTAATTCAGGAATTGCATTGGTGGCTGAATCATATCGACAACAGCACCAAGACAATGCACAAAAAGAAAGTAGCCCACTTTTTAACCACAGACGCAGCGGATGCGGGCTGGGGAGCACAATTGGACAACATTGTCATGTCCGGAAAGTGGAATCAGAGGCAAAAGAAATGGCACTCAAACATAAAGGAAATGTATGCAGTATATGCAGCTTTGAAACGACAAAGTGCATATGTGAGGGATACCCACATACTAGTCCAGTCCGACAACAGGACTCTGATTGCGTATATCAGGAACGAAGGGGGCACCCGCTCCAGGGCCCTTCTGGGATTGACAAGCCAACTCCTTCTCTTAGCCGATCAGCTCAATGTGACGCTGTCGGCAGGCTACCTCCCGGGGAGGTTAAACGGTATAGCAGACTGCCTCTCAAGGGGAAGACAAGTACCCGAATGGCACCTATTGGTTCCAGCCAGACTTCCCATTTTCGAAACATGGGGCGTGCCCGATATCGACCTGTTCGCATCCCAAGAAACAGCAGTTGTTCCACAGTATGCCACATGGAACTCAAAAGATGGCTCAGCCAGTTTTTGCGACGCATTCAGCCGAGAATGGGATTTTCAGCTAGGATGGGTATTTCCTCCTCCCAACCTCATGCCTCGCGTTCTATCTCATCTGAACAGCGCATCAGGAACATACATAATAATAGCCCCACATTGGGAACAATGCTTTTGGCTGAGCGATCTAGAGTCGAGAGCCCTAACAAGACCCATTCCAATAAAGAATCTCCGAAGGAATCTGGTGGATCAATCAACAGGGAGACCCCCTCCACAAGTGGACAAACTGTCACTCCATGCTTGGAAGATTGGGGGTGGTCTGATAAGGTCTGCAGTTGGAGTGAAGGAGAAATAAATTTACTAAATAGTAGTTGGCGGACATCTACTCTCAATACTTATAGAGCACCAATAAAAAGATGGATTAATTGGTGTGGCATGAATAATCTGGATCACAGGAACCCAGATCCCATGGATGTGGCTAGATTCTTAGCACATCTTTATTTAAAATATGACTATGCATATAGTACAATTTTGTTGCATAAGTCTGCAATATCCACATATTGTGCAAATAACTTAGAAAATATATCTAAAAACTTTTTTATTCATCATATTCTTAAAGCTATTGCAACATCCAAACCTCAATCTGTTAAAAGTCCTATATGGGATACAAAGATATTATTTGATTGGTTAAATACAGTTCCTTGCACTAATTCAATGTTTGACATTTCCAGAAGGACTGCTATAATCTTACTTTTAGCATCTGGACGACGCTTACATGATCTCACCCTCTTAGATATTTCAGAGAACAACATGATAACAGAATGTGGGAAAATAACCCTGTGGCCAAAGTTTGGTTCTAAAACAGATTCCACTACTCATAGGCAATCAGGGTGGGCATTATTGAAACACCCAAATAGTAATATATGTCCTATAAGGCACATTCAACTGCTTACTGACGTCACCCAAGAAAGGCGTTTGCAGTGCAATGTAACCAGCTTATTTATTACCTTAAAGGGTTCCGTAAAAGCAGCCACCAGGACTATCATTGCTGGATGGGTGAAGTCAATTTTTAAAGAAATTAATTTAGAGGCCAGTCCAGGCAGTATTCGTTCAGCAGTGGCGTCAAAAGGATGGTTGGAAAATATACCAGTGGAAGAAATATTAAAGCGAGGAAATTGGAAAAGCAATAAAACCTTCAGCAGGTATTATTGTAAGGAAGTCATTAAGGAAGGTCCCAAGAACAATAGAGAAGACTTGCTGTATTCAAATTTTTTATGTATATGATTATCAAAATAGTACAAATTAATAAGACTGTAAAAATTACTTGTTAATTATTGATTGATATTTTCTATTAATATTATTGTTACCTTAAATGAGAGTTTATTTGGAAAATTATTGATTATTTATCAGACATGTTAAAGATATTGTTATTGTTATTGTTTTATTGTTAAGAATAAATTTAAGTGATCATTGCTGTTACGTTTGAGCATAATTTGAAGAATAATTAAGTCTTTAATAAAAGATTTTGAAATCAATTACAATCAATTCCTTGATAATGATCCTGAGTATTCTTATTTATAAATTTTTTTTTTTCACATAGCGTTTATTGATAACATCACCAGCAGATATCAAACAGGTCTTCACATTAACGCTGTGTGTTTCCAGTAGGCAAATAATAGAACTGTTTTACATTAAAATAAAACAGTTATTATATGCCGAAAGAAACACACAGCGTTATAGCAAGTGCCTTGCTGGTGAGTGAAGACACTATGAGACAAGCTGTCGGTTGCCGCCGCAGTATAGGCGTCAGCGCCCCCTGCTGGCATCAAGGAGGTAACAGTCATGGAAACCACAGATAACACAGGTATGTTTTATTGAAATATGCTCTAGGAAGGCAGATTCGCAAGCAGCTTCTTCACATTAACGCTGTGTGTTTCTTTCGGCATATAATAACTGTTTTATTTTAATGTAAAACAGTTCTATTTTTACCTTAATTCTTAATTTAGAGTTAGTGTGACCACCAACAATATTAAAGAATCTGGGACTTGTCTAACAATTTACATTCCTATAAAATTATGTGGACTTTTAAATATATTTTATTTTTAAATATAAATATAATTCGACGTAATGAATACTGTGTATATTAGACAATGCCTATAAATTCCGAGTCAAAAATATATATTTTAATCTCTGTGCTCCTTAAATCACATTCTTGCTTTAGTGTTTTCTCTCTTATTATTTTTTTTTGTATAATCAAATTTTACGTTACGACGTTCATATGTAAAGGACGGAACTGTAAATAAAAATTATGGTCATTCACGATGCTTATGTTACACAGAAGTTCGTATCGAGTTTCACTTTGGCCCCGCTGAGAGAATATAAAGAGGAGAAATAAAAATAATTCCATTGAACGCTTTACTACTAATCTAATAAACCAAATGATAACTAATCATTATTCATGATGGATTGTTACTTATGTACCTTTAAGTTGATAGTAATTAAGATTTTTTCCAATTAAAGACCGGAGAAGGAGAATTTCGACTCGTAAGTTGGAACTGAATGTGCTGCTATTAAGTCCTTGCGCTATGAGCATTGGGATTGCATTGGGCGCCTGAACTTTCGGCGCGTGGGCTACCGGCGTTGCCCAGCCGTGGGATAGGCGGGGGGGTGGGGGGGCCGCGGTACCTGCTGCTGCTGGAGCGCCTGCTGCTGCAGTGCAGCCTGCTGGGCGGCCGCCGCTGCTGCCATCTGCTGGGCCTATAGAACGGTAAATAATGAAGTCAAAAGCATGATTGCACTAATTTATGCTTCAGCTCATCATAGCCTCTCGTATTCGGGAAAGTCTGTACGGAAACGCTTCGAGGCTTAGAAATAACACTAGCTGGGCGCGCGACTTCGTCCTCGTGGAATTGTATTATATAAATTAATAACAATAAACAAAATTTCTAAACTAAAAGGTGCCTAAGTTACTCCTTATTACATCAGCTATCTGCCAGTGAAAGTCCCGTCAAAATCGGTCCAGCGGTTTCAGAGATCAGCCGGAACAAACAGACAGACAGACAAAAATTGTAAAAAATGTTATATTGGTATATGCACCGTGTATTCATCCATATCCATTTAGTAAACAGCGGTTATTTGAATCTTACAAACAGACACTCCAATTTTATTTATCTGTATAGATAATTCCACGCGGACGAAATCGCGAGCAAAGCTAGTGGTAAATATAACGAATGAATTAAATGGACTGAATACATGAAGAGTGAGATAGCTTGCATTATCATAGCTTTCTTAAGAACATTTACCGCTCCGGCGCGTTCCTTAGTCGATCCAATGCCAGGGTACAGCGTGGGGCCAACCGATGTTGTTTTGAACTGCAGAAACCCAAGTAATCCTGTCCCCCTTTCAGTAGGGATGTCGAATGTGAAGAAATATATTCATGTGTGTGTGTATGAAGAAACATATTTATAAAAACATCAATACCGACCTCGATATAGACATTTTGTTCAAACTATTGTTTAAATCATCCAGCATGTGACCAAAAGAAAAAAAAAAAAAACGAAATAGCAATCTTCTCATATTTCTACTTCCAGTAGTTGTCCCGAAGCCGTAGATGTGACTTCTGCACAAATACTCTGCGACGGATTCTAATTTGAAAAAAGGCATCTATTTTGTAACGAGTTTCGATATTGAATATTTTGTATCGATACATCGGCCGCAACATCGATATTTCGAATAAAAAACATCGATGTATCGATACTTTCTCGTCATCCCTACCTTTCAGGGATTCCTTCACTCTTTGCTCTACCCGACACGAAACGCTAAATTGTGGAAAGGCTTAGAAATGCAATGGTCACCTGGACGCTCTGCTGTACTGCGCACGGCTGCTGCATAGGCGAGGCGGCCTGCGGTAGCGGCGTCTGCGAGCTCTGCTGTTGACACTTGTTGTACACCGTATGCCCCTGTTGGTTCAATGGAGCCCGATGGTATCGTCAGGGCAGTTAAGGAGGCTCTGGCTTTGATTAAGCGACTAATAAATTATTTTTAAATAATTGATTTACTGCGGATGTAGAACCAAGATAACCGATATAGCTCAGAGGATTAGCAAGCTGAAGTGGCGATGGGCCGGCCATATAGCTCGTAGAACCGATAACCGTTGGGGAAGAAAGGTTCTCGAGTGGCAGCCACGTACTAGCCATCGCAGCGTAGGACGACCCCCCACTAGATGGAGTGACGACCTGTGCAAATGTGTGGGAAGTCGATGAATGCAGGTGGCTCAGGAACGTACTTCATGGCAGGCTTATGTTCAGCAGTGGACTCAAACAGGCTGAAATGATGATGATGATGAATTGATTTACACGTATTTTTGAAGAGTATGATTCCATAGCCGTGGATTCTACTTTTTATAGACATATTGTCAATAAAAATATAATCAATATTTTTAAAGTGAGAAGGTGGCAAGCGAGATGGCGGTTCACCTGATGTCAAGTGATTACCGCCGCCCATGGACATTTGCAACAGCAGTAGTGTTGCAGATGCGTTGCCACCTTCTAATAAAGCGGGCCCCAGCTACCTCACTCACCAGCGAAATGCACAAGTGTAACACTTCCAATTCACGCCCGCCTTTTATGAGATTGTGCTACTTACCCGGATGGAATTACCGATTCGCGATACAGGAAGGACTGTTAAAACGTCTACCACATTTGAAACGGCAAAACTTGTCGGCAGGTGTCAATTTTAGACGGGAAATCCAACCATCAAATGGGGTGATAACCGCGTTTGTCTTAAAAGAAGCCGTGACAAACAGCAAGCGGTCCGCGATGGTTAATGGTTATTGACGCCTATGGATTTCAAGTGGGACAGATGCGTTGCCAACTTATTGAAGGCCTGGTAAGCCTGTTCAAATAAATAAATAAATATCCACTTAGCCAATCGGGTTGCCAAGAACAGAGCCTCACCTGCAAATCGGCCAGCAGGCCGTGCCACTGCGTGACCTTGTCGTAGTGCCTCCGCAGCAGTTCTTCCTTGCGCTGGAGCTCGCACTTCAGCTCATTATTGTCCTCTTTCACTAGGAGCTCCGGCTTCATGGCGGACAGCAGGAACCTGTCACGTACACTTCTATACTTCGCCGCAACGGATCGAAAAGGAGCTGATAGTTTTTCAAAGCCATACAGAAATATCATACGATAACTTCTTCGCATTAAAACTTGTAGGAAAAATAAAAAAAAATATGTAGAAAAAGTGGAAAAAGTAAAGTCGGCAGTCGCGGCCTGATGCTTTAGCCGTTTAGCTTAGTGGCAAAAGCGTAGGGCCGCGAATGCCGAAGACGTGGGTTCGGTTCCTACAGCGGCGACAATCTTTTCGTACTTCTTCTACTAAATTTAATGTTTAATCTTAAGTGCAGAGATTAGCACCATAAAAAAAATTCTTACTTCTTCGCAGTTAATTATAATAATATCGGCCTATTGCCGTCCACTGGTGAACGTAAGCCTCCCTCAAAGTGTGCCGACTATACCTCCTTGGGCAGAACGCATCCTTCGTAGCTATTATATAACTAGCCGCTGCCCGCGACTACGTCTGCGTAGACGTAGAATAGGCTGAAGGCGTAATATTTAGACAGAAAGACAGATATACAAAAAAATATGTATATAAATTATAGCCTATGTGTTATTCTGATGTATAAGCTATATTATTATTGTAAAGTTTCATTAAAATCCATTCAGTAGTATTTGCGTGAAAGAGTAACAAACATCCATCCATACATACAAACATTCGCCTTTATAATATTGATTATTATAGTAAGGATATTTTTGTATGGCATGAGTCTGTTCTTAAATAGAAAATTATGATATAAATTCAAAAACAATCCATTGATTTAAACCTGATGTATAATTTCAAACAATTCATCGATTCAAACCCATGTTAATGAGAAAGTGATCAATATTGGAATACAATTTTTGTCGTTTATTTAGGCAGGGGAAATACAATGCCAAATAAAAGTCTGATAAAATATTGAGAAGAAAAATAGTTTCAATGGGTGATTGAAACTTTACGGTGGTAGGGCCACGCAGCAGCCTCGGCTGTTGCACGAATGGGCAGGCCCGTCCGGGTAAGTACCACGACCTCACAGAAGACGGGCCTAAAGTGGAAGTATAATACTTTCGCGACTCGTCTAGTGAGTGAGGTGGCCGGAGCCCAATATCCAAAAAGGTTGTCACCGCATCTGCAAACCCTCGGGTGTAGCGGATGTCCATGGGCGGAGGTATTCACTTAACATCAGGTAAACCGTCTGCTCGTTTGATAACTTTTCGCATAAAAAAAACTATTTTTATTCCCTAGCCTATTGAACCGACGCAAGCACATCCCCTTCTTTATTCACTTATTCAACAGTAATGATTAACTATCAATAATTAATTAAAGTAACAGTTTATTAAATAAAATATACGCAGAAAGGTGATAAAAAATTTCAAGGTAAGGCACTACGATAACAAATGTAATTAGTTTTAATTATACTAGCCAATCAGTATTTAAAATACACTACGCCGTTAAAATACTATACATTCCATGGCCAAAAACATAACAAACAAAGATATCACACGCATAATTATCAAAATATTCACTCGGATTAAAAACGGCCAAAACAAAAAGTCATCGTGATTCTTGTAAGAATCGGTTTGGGAGCTGCAAATTAAATATTGTTCACACTACTCTGACCAAAAGTTAGTACTCTGAATACTTTTCAATTATTCTATATAATTTTATTATTACTTATGTAAACATAAGAAAATCCAATTGTCCGTCATGTCATTTTAACAGAAACTAAACTGTATAACGTTTAAATGTAACGGCTGATTTTACAAATGGATAAACCATTAGCTTTTAATCGTCTGCCTATTTGATCTGAATATATAATTAACGGAACATTCATTTATATGTATTCATCATCATCATTATTATTTCAGCCTGTTTGTGTCCACTGCTGAACATAGGCCTCCCCCAGACTGCCACGAAGTGCGATCCTGAGCCACCCGCATCCACCGATTTCCCGCACATGTACTCGTATTAGTATGTATTAATTATATTGGTTAGTTATATCAAATCAAATGATTTATTCATCGAAATAAGAAACATACATTTCATCTATTCATAAATTCAGCAAGCGCCGGCCAGTTTCGAATAAATAAATAAAAATCCATCGCTAGTCATTTTTGTTTATTTTTAAATTTTACCTCCTGACGCGACGTTTCGAACCCTTTTGTTGTATATATTTTTTATAGTTAACATATGCATACATGCATGTATAGGTGTTACAACTGGGACCTTAAATGAACACACTTCTAACGCTACTTGCCAATAATCATAAAAAAATACAAAGTAAAAAAAATCCATAATTAAAAATAAATAAAAAGCAATTTTCAAACTAATTAAAAAAAATTATAATATCCTATACAACTAACTGATTCATACATTCAAAGACTATTTCATTCGTTGCCACAACGTCGCATTACAAGTCTCTCCTTCTAACAGTATGTTTTGTCTCTTTTAAATTCATTCAACCGATCCATATGCTTTGTGACCTTTACAAATGAACTTTACAGTTTTGTACGTAAGGATTTTGTAAAATTATTATTTTTTTTTCAAAAATTTAATAACTCCGTAAATATTGATGTTCAATGAAAGTGAATGTTTAATACAATTTTAAAAAGTTATCTTCCATAAAATATGTGTGTTTATTTATGGTCGCGATAGTGACGCTACATTGTATAACACGGTTTTTAAACACCAGCGCTTTTCTTTTTTGATATATCTTTCTGTTCACCCACCTTGGGTGCGTTCCAAAGCGTTCACAACGATTTAGCTCACGACCGCAGGTTTTCCCGTTCCACTTGCTTGTGAGCGTTCTGTCGTAAACTCAAGTGGAATGGATCATAGAGCGTTTTGAGCGTGGACTCGTAGAGGTAAATAATACAAACGTCAGAGTCAGAAAAAAGGAAGCAAAATATTTAAGAGGTTAGGTTATAATCTGTAGCCTTGAAAATAAACTTAAATAATTATTGTTTTAATCGATTTATATTGAAAAAAAAAAAATATAATTTAATTTATTATGTTTTATATTAGTTGTGTATTTAATTAATTTACGTTCAAATGCAATTAAAATGTCTTTTGCGGTGACACTTTGAACGAACACTTCGACCCACCTTTTTAGATGGGTCGTCGTGAACTTCGCGTGAGCGTAAGGACCCATTTACACGGTGCAAGTTTCTTGCCTGTTGTATACAATTAAATTGAAGCAATAAATGTGTTGCATGGTCTAAACAACAAATGGTCTAACAAATTATTGCGCGCAATTTATTGCATTCAATTATTGCTCTTGTATGTACAAGAAAATGGCATCGTGTAAATGGGCCTTAAGTCATGACGTCATTAGGGACGTTTTCGCCGCGACCACAACGAAAGCGGTCGTTATGTGGAACGACTAAAGTAGCTATTTGATATTTGTGGGCGCTTAGTGGAACGTAGTACCGCAGTAAGATTGACTGGGAGATAACTCTTTTTTCACCACCGCATTTGTACGATTTGTGCTTAAAGAATAAATAAACTTTAACTGTGGTGGGGCCACGCAACAGTTGGCTGTTGCAGGAATGAGCAGGTCCGTCCGGGGAGTACCACGTCCTCGCAGAAGACCGGCTTGAAGTCGAAGTGTTATACCTCTGCGTTTCGTCTGGTGCCCACTTTGTTGAAAGGTGGCAACGCATCTGCTATCCTACGGGTGTTGCAAATGTCCATGGGCGGCGGTAATCACTTAACATCAGGTGAACCGTCAGCTCCATTGTCCATCTTCTTACATTTTTTTTTAAAGACCTGCCCTCACTTTAGGATAACATTCTCCTGTGTTGCAAGGACGTTTTTACATACATAAATTTCACGTGGACAAACACCCAGATGCGAAACAACTATCTGTGGGTCACACAAATGGTTGTCCCGTGTGGGAATCGAACCCACGACCCCCGACGCCGAAGCCAATACCTTGACGACTGCGCCACGGAGTGATGATAAATATAGTGAATCTGGCTTCAGGGCCAGTTTCACTATCTTGTTTGTTAACTCAACGCTTCAGAAACTCGGAACTTTCTAGAAAATTCGGGAGTGCCGCTCAACATACCTCTTCTGCAAGAAGAAGGCCTCCATTTGACGCGCGTGGTCGATGAACCTCTCCACTTCTACCTTTACCTCTTCCTTTTCGACGCTCGGCGAGGCCTCCTGTTTAGTGAGAACGTTGAGGCACGCCTGGGGGCAAGGACATCAATCATATCATCAAATACGTAATCAATTTTGTTTCTTTATTAATATTTTTCATATTTGTAACTTTGTGAACTTGTATTATTTGTTGAAACGATGTTTTGTTTTTATTTATCAATTTGTTGTGTTCATGTAATTTATTTTTGAATGTTTGTGCTGTTTGTTGCTTGTCAAAATAAAGTTTATATATATGTCTTATCAGTGCATCTTATCGAGTAAACGTTAACATATAATACATATCTGGCGCTACGCTTATATACGCTGCTAATATTAAATACCATATATTTCTTTAAAAGTATTGAAATTTGTAGAAAAAATAGGCAAAAAGTTTGTCGGCACTGCATGTATCGAACCCAAGTCTTCCGGAATCGCACCTTTTCACACTCTTCACATTTTTAAGGCGCTGTATGCAGTGAATTTTTAACTATTTGGGTGGTGAAGTATGAGGAAGCGGAGGAGGGGTAACGCCGCTTAGCGGCGCGCAGCGCGCGAGTTTCGTCGACGCGCCGCTAGACCATTCATTACCTCGTGTGTAGTGATGGGCCGTAGGACACTATCGATAGTATCATGGAAGACTGTTGAAAATGTACACAGATGGTCCCTATAATATCTTTTATAGACCATGATTATATTTTACTCTTATATTATTATAGGAATAATAATAAACAAACAAATATAAAGTTTGAGAAAGCAATCAACAATTTTAGAAAATCTACCTATTACTTATTTTAAATTATCAGGAAAAGGATTAAAATTGATTAAAAATACATGTTAAGGTCAAATAAATTAATAAAGGCAAATGACATTTCTTACAAAAAAACAATAAATAAACGAATAATTATTTATTTTGATTTAAAGTAAAAGCTCATAAAAATTTTAAGCAATTTCAAACTCTCCACGGCAGAAAATACGAATACGACTTTTCATTACATATTTTCTTAAACTTTACATTTTTAATTTATCCTTTAAATGTGAAAGACTTACTATGTTATATGAATTCTTCAATGAAATGATATTTAAAAAAATATAGGCTTAACTTAAGCTTTTATTGAACGTCAAAAAAATTTACTTCTTATTGATTTTGATGACCATTTTTCAAAATCTTACCTTAAGCTATCTGGTATTTTTTTTTAAATATTTTATGGCCTGGTAACAAGCTGTCTGGTATATGGTACACATAGACATTTTTAATGATAGTTTAGACAAGTTTAACAGAAATCTGTCCGTTTATAGTTCTTTTTAAATAGTGTAAATTTCTTTTATTGTCTCTACAATTTTTATTTTGTTATTTTATTAAAAATACTGTTATTTTTTGGTTTTAGTATATGTTTATTTCAGTCTAAAACCAACTATTGTACTAATCCCTTGTTAGCATTTAATTGAATTCTTTTTTTTAGCGGTTATCTGTCGATATTATAATAACTAGAATGTCGTTTCACCTGTAATCGAGATACTAATTATCATTTAGTTTAAGATACTATGTACTTATTTATGTTCAAAGCATGTTTTGATGTGTATCTTGCTGGTGAAGTAAATAAATAAATTAATACATAAATGATTTTTCTTTAATGTTTAAATTTTTTTTAATTGCTATATAACACCTTAGAAATTTGCTGAACGTTTGCCTTTTTTTTCTTTTGATACGCTAAAGAATTAATAATTTCTTATGTGCGTTCATAAGTATTACACATCATTTTACATCAATTTGTAATTTGCTTTTTATATATAAATATATATTTTTGGTGTACAATATAGTATAAATAAATAACAATCGACATTCCTATGGATACCAATATTTCAAATGTAAAATTTAAAACATTATCTACTCAAGTTTAGCTAATGCAAAAAGCCACCAAAATTCACTAAATTCTAACCAAAAAAAACCACATAGATGAGAAACCTTTGGGAAGTTAGCCAAGTTAGCATCCAAGGTAGTACATACTCATAACGGGTAGTATCGCGATGTGCAAAAGCGAAAACGTTTAATACGTTTCGTTTCTCTTACTTTTTTATCGTGTATGGGCTTCGATTTCACAACAAAACCTTTGTTAAGATAAAATATATAATTTATTTATGTTTTTAATTTCATAATTATTATGTTAATAGCCTATATTAATTTTTTTTAACTCAACGATTACGTATCTTTGTAATGACTTCTTAAGTCTATTTTTAAGGGTTCCTAAATTAGTTCTTTTGCTCTTTTTAATTAAATATTATTGTAATATTTGCAATATTATCAGAAGTGTTTGATCTCTCAAGCTACTTCCGTGAGACATACATTAGATTCCCTGTCCCAAAACAAAAACCAACGTAAAACCCTGCGTAAATCTATAATTTTCCTCGCGGGTTAAAAGAAAACTACAAGAATGTTTCACTTTCGTTTTTATTATTAGAATACCATTGAAAACATGTTGTTTCCCCTTTTGTAAATTTAATTAATACTATTCCGAATAATCAGTCAAGACTCTTAACCATTTGCTTGTTATGCCATTTGTTGGTGAAATTAAAAAAAAATGCAATATATATATACACGCCAAACTTTTTGTCGACGATAAAATTAAAAATGCGGTATATTTATCTATTGCTAAGTTTTATTTTCGAAATTAATAGTGTTATGACAAAATATATTGTGGTTTACGTTAAATGAGGAATTGAAGATTAACAAGCTCTTCTAAGTACAAAGCTTTAAAATGTTTTCACCAAATGGTTCAGAGTCTCATTACATTAATGACTACAATATCGACACATTTTTAAAACACATTATCACTAATTACCGATGATCTTATATTAGACGTCAGATATACAGTTCGCATCGCTTATTTAAAGTTGACTATCTTTACTTAACTATACATATATAAAATAATTATCTTTTATACAATTGATTTAGTAAGATAAGAGACTGATTCCTATGACGAGTTATTTTAAAATAAGTTCTTAATTGAATGTCATAGGAACTCGAGTGAGTTCTCGAGACCTGCTAATGTTGCTGTTGAATCAACACATTTATAATATTTTCAGTACAATAAATATGTATTATGAACAACCATTTATATACTTTTTATTACTGTAAACAATTATTTAACATTGTTATAAAATTTTCAACTATCCATTTTTACCACATTACAAAGACTTCACGCAGCGATGTGGCAACACTAGCTTATCTGTAAATTCAATAGCGTTGGAAATCACATTTACAATACTCCATATACAAACAGCATTATTAGAAGCGAATAATTTTTTTACAATTCCTATAGCTGAAAATTTTACTAGAAACATTGCGGTGATAGAAATTATTGCCCTTACTTAATATTATATAATAAATGAATCTGTTTAATACACAAACACATTATATCTTCCTATATAGCAAAGAATTTTTTCAAACCTTTTGTAACTCCTAAGTTCGGTTCGGTAAGTCGCTCGGTTTTTGAACGGATTACTTGAAAAATATTCTCGTATGTAAATTGTAAATGAAAACATTAAAGTAAATCACAAAACACGCCTTCTGGGACAAGTGGCAGGACATTTTCTCTATCGCTACTATTTACAAAAAATACGTATTATATCGAAAGCTTATTTCTAAGGCAATGAAGTATCGCAAATAAAACGTCAATTATTTCATTAATAAATTATTTCCTACCAATAAGTGTCGTAATACAAAACCGTGATACAGATAAAAATAATCTCGTTTATTAAATAGAAATTAAAATATTACATAGCTCAAGTAAAGCTAAAGGTAGATTAACTAAATACAAATTACCACAAGAGATTTCCCCATATAATCATTTAAATAGTCATACGTCATCAAATATCTATACACAAATAAGTTACCATAGCACAAATATCACTACATAACTTACACACAAAAATCGCTTACAATAATTAATATAAAACTTCGAAAATAACTAAAAATCAGTCGTTTTAATGGCTAAGTATCTTTAGAAATAAATTAAAAACAGTATATTGTCGTCTGAAAAACATTTCAAATAACTGATATTTTGTAATTTAAAATATAAAATCTATTGTTCTCTTTAATTAAATGGACCATTTTTATTTTATTTACCTTAGATTGCAATTAGTACACTATGCCTTTAATGATTTATTTCTGAAGTTTTATGCAACCCCGAGTTAAGTAATTGATATATGTATATAACCTCATGGTGGTATTTTAAAAATGATTCCTTATGACTTCGAAAGAAAACACAACTGCACAAAACATCGATAATTCTCTTCTAACGTTTTATATTATTCATTCGCACAGATGGACACAAACTGTGAAGGTTATAATAAATCAAAATGTAATCTGAGTATAAAAATATTTATTACAAGAAATTATCCAATAAAACTTGTGACATTTTAGATGTTAGCTGCTAATCTTGTATTGGTTACATTTTAATAGCTCTCTAATAAAAAAAAGAATTTTTTTTTTTTGACTATCGAGCGTTTCTTGATAAACGTTGTTAAGGTTATGTGAGAATAGAGCTTTAAACGAAAAACGTGAAGTGATAAGTTGGTTCTACTTTTACTTCATAGTTTATACCTATAGTAAGCTCCTATAGACTATGTAAGAATTTTTTTCAGGCAATTGAAATAAAATCACAAATTGATTTAAAAGCAGCTTCATGCAAATATCTGTCAATGCAGATTTTTTTTCAACGAGAACGTTTTAATGTGTACATCGTCATACTTTTTGTATGGAATATATACATATTTTTTTCTTTTAAGGTCCATTAAATTGTCTGCAATTTTTATTCGTTATATATTAGTGTTAAAATTTTAAGATCCGAACGATTAAAATGCTTAATTTTTTGTATTTTAGCTGGCTAACTTTACCCAAAGATATATATATGCGAAAAAGAACACGTCAAATTGCCATTCTAATTTTTTTTTATTTAGACATAGGTTCAGACTAAAGTAGTACAGCCCGCGGTGGTGATTTGAATTATTAATTCCGATGCATGTATGTTTTGAAAAAAAAATACAGCTCGTCGGTCCGAGCGGAGAGACTTCTAGAATAGGTACGCAGAAATTAAAGTTTACATAATTATGACATAGCACGTTTAAAACCAAAAGAAAAACCATTTTTTTATATTTACTAGCACTATTTACAAACGTAAATTTTAATATTTTTATATATGTAGTACTATTTACGAAATTATTTTTATTGAATTACGGATTGGAAATTTAATTAATAGTCTGTCAAGATATTTAATTTCTTTCTTAGCGTCGGTAACGATAGTTCATAATAAGCGCGATAGTTAAGTTATTAAAACAAAAATTACGTACCTATTTAGATAATTAAAAAACCTATTTTTAATTTGAACTTTCGTGTGTATTTAAATGATGGAAAGAGCACAAATATTTACAATTTCTTCTTTCCCTATTAGTAACTGGCAATATGAAACACAATTTTAGGGAATTATTGATAGTCTATAAGTGCAAATTTATATACAATAACAAATACAAATGATATAAGAACTTTATTATTAAAGCTAATGCAACACCACAAAATGTAAGAGTGATCTACAATGAACAATAAACTTTACATTATTAAAATTTATATTGAATTATACAAGACTATCCAGGGTGTCAAATTCCTCACAGACATCTTGTAGTCATTAACATAGTGTGCTCATAAAGACATTATGCTACTTAAAAGAAAATACTGGAAAATTACTTATTCTTAAAGAACCAAGGCGATTGAAGTTCACTCCGGTAATAATTTGGGTCTGCACTTCCATACATTGCTTGCACATTTTGCAATGGTGTATACTGTCTGGTAGAGCTCTGTTCAGGTTTCCACTGAGTGCTTTCTTTATGGGGGCTACTATCTGGTGGGTTAACTGGCTGCTCCGATGAAACTTGTTTGGGACGTGTCCTAAAATCTAAAGGGCTGTCGAGGAAGATATTGTCATTATACTGGCATATTGGTAATGGCCAATCCGTCTTATCTAGAATGCCTGGAACACTTTTAGTTGAAGTCGAAGGCTCTGTGTATTTGGTTTTAGGTGGTCGCTTTTTGGGTACCTGTGCTGACGTTGAGGGTGTGATGTCCGGACGGCTGTGTTTGGTCACCATGAATTTGTGGAATTCTCCTTGGAATGCGCTAGGGTTCTTATTGATTGGTGGCACGGTTGGTATACGAGGGCCGGGGTCCATGCGCAATCCTGGGTAGAACTCTGGCGGTAGTGTTGTAGATTTTGGTGGTTCACGCCGTGGCGGCATTTTAGAACTCGGAGATGTTTGCGGTGTGGTTAGTTTTTCAGTCTTAAGGGCAGAGCCCATTTTTGGTTCTTTGAGTACGGAATCTAACTTGGGCCTAACGGCCTGACTAGGTTTTACAAAGTTTTCAGGGGTATTGTATTCAACTATGACTTTCTTCTTTGGAGTGCGTGGCTTTCTAATTTTCTTTTCGGTTTTGTCGTCTAACTGGATGTCCTTCTTTGGCTTCTGCTCTTTCTTTGTTTGCCTCTTGATCTTCTCCTTTTTGGGCTTCTCTTTTTGTTCACCTTCCTTCACTGATGATTTTCGTTTTTTTGGTTCTTTCTTCTCTTTTGGCTGGTCTGGCAATTTTGGTATGTCCAGTGAGGTACTAAACAGTGGATCTGGATCATTCGTGGGTTTATCTGCGACAATAACAATCTCTCCTACTTCATGCGGTGGAGATTCCCAGTTTGATACAACAGCTGCCATGTGTTCTAACTGTTCTTCTGACAGTTTTTTGGTTTTAACTTTTCTCTTTTGAGTTTTTGGTGGTTGTAGAGTTTTCTTAGATTTTTCATCATCACTTTCCTTGATTATTTTATCCTTAATGTCCTTTATTATTTTATCCTTAGTATCCTTTATTACTTTATCCTTAGTCTCTTTTTTTGAGCTGTCCTTTCTTTTTTTCCTGGGTTTTGATAATCTCTTTGATCTTGGATGCTCATAGTCAGAATCTTTATCCGAATCTATATAGCCAACATCAGGTAGCGTAGCTTCTGATGGGTCCATTTCATCACCTTTTAACCAGATATCTTCTAGAGCATCAAGTTGAGTGTCATCAGGTGATATTGGCAATATTGGTCTCTTCATTGAAGTCATCATGTCAAGGTCACCTTCTGCCATAGTCATTTCATCATCATCCATAACATCATGTCCAAGAATTGAAACAGCAATAGCCCCCTCGGATATACTTTTGCTAGCCATTGCCCTTTTTAAGTGAAGAGGATGACGTTTTTTCTTTTTCAACCCTTCAACTTCAGCCTCAATAAATGACTCTGGGAGCTCTGTATTGTTCTTATTGCAAAGAATATCTTGACCTGAAGGATGCGGTGCTGGGACCATCTTCTCGGGCTGCTCTGGATGACAGCCAATGTCTTGACCCTTAAGCCACAGCTCATAGCGGTCAGGTTGAAACCGCTTCACAAATGTGTCCATGGAAATCTTTACCATATCATTGCTACATGTGCACTGCAGAGCTCTCTTTCCATACTCAACCCAGCGAGGTGCTGCAAAGTTAGTTGACTCGGCGCAGTTAAAGCCATGGTTAAAGCCAGCGTGGTAGCCATACGGGAATGTTATCATAATTTCGCCGGCCTTCTGTGTCACTTTGTTACAGGGTACAGAATACTGCTTAAGGATTTGCGGTGAGATCAGTGTCATTTTGTGTCGGAGGAAAGCCTGGCAGGTCTTAGCAGATGTCGGAAAGAAACCGGACGCGATCCGCTCGAATCTCTTACCGTGCTCCGGCGGGATGGCGTACCAGGTCTTCGGATCACCGAAATGTAGATAATTTATGGAGTACAAATCCATGTCCTCAGTATGCCAAGCGAATGTTGTCTTCCACATGCCGAAATACAGGTAGGCCGTGTTAACGCCGTCTATTTCAATGCCATAATCAGAATTCACAAAGTCGAGAATTGTTCCCAGGTGGTTTATGTTCCATTCCTTCACGTCTGGATCGGTGATGCTGCCGTTAACGTCAGCCCCGTAGATAGGCGCCACATAAGTCACGTTCTTCCAATATTTCCTCTCTAAATCGTCATAGTTAGTGTGCCGGGGAGTGCAGTACTTCGCAGAGTTTGCTAAAACTGCGAACTGCTTTACAGTCATAGATTTCTTTTGTATATTGATTTGTTGAAATAAACCTTGCTTGCCGGTCACCACTTGGCAGATAGGCGACGGTATTGTGACGTTTAGCTCGTCCAAGTTGTACCCTGACTTTCTGGGAACCCACTCCGGCGGAGGAATTACTTTTGCGAGGCCAGCCTTGTGCGCTCCCTTCGATTCCATATACTGCACGTATTTGTTAAAGTCTTTAAATTCTTCCCATGTGGGACGAAACACTTGTATAGAAACTCCGCTACCACATGCCACAGAAACATCCTCCCCGGCCACAGACATGATAGTTTTTAATAACAAATTCACATATAATCAACAATATTTCATCATTCGAATATCACTCTCTCACATTATTAATCCGCGCAACATAATCTCCGATCGTTTTTTTTACTGTTAATGGCGATTACTTTCAGTCCGAAATTCACTTAAATACACACGCGATAAAGCTTTGATAATTAGTCGAAAACATTATCAGTAAAATGGCCGACATGAATGAGATGCGCTTGCAACAAAAATCTCTAGGCACCGTCGAAGCCGCATAAGTCAAATTGGGTCACGTACTCACTTACAGTCGGACTCTTTTTTCTATTCAACATTCGAATTTAGCTTATGAAGCTTCTACTACACCACGGCAACACCGACAACAAAGACTATACCGTCAAGTTGGTACCGAAGCAGTATTTTGACAGCTATGTGAATAAATACATTTTATGAGGTTAGAATTAAAAAATAACACCTACACAAGAGTTAAAACGCGATTTTAAAACAATTTTAAATACCTGGAAAGATTCCTCGAACTCTTCAACTAAATTTCCACTGCCATTTGATGGAGCCGCCATCTTTATATTGAAAACTTAACAACACTTCTGCTATCACTTTGACACTTGTTATTCGGAATGCGTCATAGTCAATCAAAGGCGCCAGTGTAGCTAAAGCTAAATATATAGTGATTTAATTGCGTGCGTCACTCACTCACACATGTATACGGTGATGGTTAATATTCGTTCAGTATAATTTGAATAATCAATAAAAACTATTAAATTTTACTAATATTGTCTATTACTTTATTGTGAACAAACTAGTACAAAACATTTCTTATTTTTTTTATTTTTTGTGTCTATACTTTTGAGAAACTTGAATTAGTATTAAATTATTTGCTTAATTTTAATATACAGCGTGTCGTTACCATCGCGACAATAAATGAAGGCACGTCTAACGCTACTTGCCAAAAATCATAAATAAATATTAACGTTAAAAAAAGTCCATAATTAAAAAAAATATTTTTCAAACAAACTAATTAAGTAAAAAAGAAACAAAATTGGTAACATCCTATACAACTCGCGCCACAGCGTCGTATTACAAGCCTCTTCTTCTAACAGTATGTTTTGTCTCTTTTAAATTCATTCAACCCATTCATATGCTTTGTGACCTTTACAAATGAACTTTACGTTACGCTTTTATAGGTAAGGGTGTTCTAAAATTCTTTGTTTTGGAAAATTTAATAACTCGGTAAATATTGATGTTTAAAGAATTTGAATGTTTAATACAACTTTAAAAAGTTATCCCCTATATGTGTGTTCATTTATTGTCGCGATGGTAACGACACGCTGTATATAAACAAAATATGAAAACAATCGTATTTTTAACGAGTTCATTAGTCGTTAAAGTTCTTATTAATGAAACGTATTAAAACGTTTAATTATTAAGAACTTTAACATAGGTAATAGTAGTAATTTTATTTTGGTTTAGGACGAATGTTAATATCAGCATTATGAATAAATATAATTAAAAACATCTGACTTCATATTATTTATGAATATATATTAGTATATCACAAATAAATTCTTATTAATAAATTATTAAGAACTTTAACATAGGTAATAGTGTTTTATTTTGGTTTAGGACGAATGTTAATATCAGCATTATGAATAAATGTAATTAAAAACATCTGACTTCATATTATTTATGAATATATATTAGTATATCACAAATAAATTCACTACTAAAACTAATTCAGATAATGATGTTACATTGCACACAATTTTCAAGCTTGTGGAATTATTATTTATCTTAAAAATAATTGATTCATATAACGGTTTATTACGTATGAACGCCTAAAATCAGTTATAATAGAAAAGATATAAATTAAAGTCATATTTTAAACCATTTCATTTAGTTGAAATTTGGTTGCTGAATATTTGCTACATCAGCAATTAATATAATGAATATATAAGACGTTCTTTAGTTTATTAACGTCGAATAATTTTTTACTTTCTTTTATTAAAAAAGGCCTATGAATGAACTTGAACGAAATGTAAAGTAATACATGAAACTAAATTTAAATTAATATTTATAATTTGTAAATGCTATTTACAGTTCCTGTTATATGCATATTACGTCAGCCCCGTTACAAAAACAACCGTAAGCGCACAGCTGATCCAAAGTGAATGAACTTAAATGTAAACCAACCCACGTGACCAAACGAAACCTTGAAATGCAAAAATTGTTTGAGGCTTTTCGATCACTGTAAGTAACGCATATCATTATTATCTTTATAGGTTCGAATAATCCCTGAAATTTTAAAGATTTTTATTCCATATCTAATAAAATATACATTTAAATTATTTAGTTATCACAATTCTATTGTTCTCAAATGATTATGACAGATATACATATAGACTAATTGAATATATAAAAAAATCCTAATTAAAAAAAGTTACTAGTGCCTATTAGGTACCAACCTAAAGGAAAAAATTTAAAAAAAGAGAAAAATTTAAGTCGACCAAATATTTGCGTTTCACTTGGTTGAATGAATTTTAATATCGATTTTTTTTTTGTAATTTATAGTTTTGAAACGACATTTAATAAATTTGCGTTAACAGAAAATTCTACATGAATATGCCATTCTAAAATATAACACTTGAATATTATATTCTATAAAAGAAATTATATCGGCTTCTAAACATGTTTTTTAATATAATTTATTTAATAGAAATAATTTATATAAATTAATATAATAGATTTACTTGAATAAATAAGACACATAGTGTTGTATCGATTTCAAATTAATTTTTAAATTCAACTTTTATTTCAAATCAACAGTCACCATTACATCACATCAGTAAAAAATAATTTTATCTTGTCTGTGGAATAGTTTAGAGATATGCAACATCGCTCCTAAAAGACATCGATAGAACATCAATATTTTTAAAACTTCGGTGTTAAAAATATTGAAGTTTATGAACGATGTATCAATGTTTTTATTACACAGTAAAATGCAATGCAGTTTATGCAACTGCTTGAAACATAATAAGTTCGGAGTTAACTAAGTATGGTATATACTTATATATCGATTAAATATTAATTTTTGACAGAAAAGAAACATAAAAATAATAATCAAACATTTAAATTAACATTTTAATTCACATAATCATGTTTTAGGAAGGTTTAAACGACTTCATTTGACATATTATTTTTATCGAAAAATTATATTTTTTTCCACAAAACCAGTTTTAATCAACAATTATTAAACACAGTATTTAAAAAGACCAACTTTGACAACCTGTTGCTCAATAAGCGGTTTCGCTCCCGGACTGTAGCTTCACAGAATAACCGCTCAATCGGTGCCGAAATTGCCACGATGGGCAAATAGATCATAGCTATGCTTTGAAGCCCAGGACAAACTCCTCAAAAGGACAATTTCTGAGTGACAGGTATCTTTAGTTTTACTTTTTATTTTTTAAGTTGTAATGGGACAATATTTTATGGTAGGCCCATATTTCACCTTCTGTTTTATCTTTTTCCTTTTCGTAAGAAGCATGGCATTTGCTATTGCTATATTTGCATTTCATTCGTTCAAAATCAAAAATATATTTATTAAAATAGACGCTTACGCGCTCTTATGAATCGTCAAATTTTACATCATAAATCATGTATATATAGGTTCGAAAGGTACCACCGGTTCGGAAAGCAGTTTCTGTTGAAAAGAGACCTGCAAGAAACTCAACAGTTGCTCTTTTTCAAAAATATCAGTTTACAATATAACATACCGGTATAATAGTCTTATTCTAGCCTACGAGAGTTTAAAAGGGTGTGGTGAGCGTCAAAGACGATGTAGTATAATCGATGTTTATGAACGATTTATGGATGCTTAAAAAATCGATGTATCGTTTGCATACCTAAAAATTTATAGGGATGCCGAAAGTCGAAAAAAATATCGATATATCGATATTTATAAAAATATCATAATCGGCCTCAATACATTGAAAAAAAAAATCGATTTATCGTTCAAATTTTCAGTTTTATAATATTATAATAAGGAATAGTAATTTTTATACCAAATTCACATTATTTAAATGAATTCGAAATTTTAATAAAATGTTAATAATTTATTAATTTTAATCAAATTTCTATTATTAATCTAAATTTCTAGGTATGTTATTTATCAAAACCTTCATCGGATAAAAAACAAACAGCTTATTTAGTAAGATAAATCAGTTTCTTTAACCCTGAATGGAATCAAACTAAAAATAACTTTGTAAAAAAACATAATGGGTCAAAAAGACAGGCATAGATTCATAGAATTTAGTAATAGTTGCTTGATTGATATGAAAATTCTGAACGACACTTTAAAGAAATTACTTATGTGGTTAAATGATAATAATTTTTATGACTTCAAATATATTTTTTTTATGAAAATTCAATATTATATTATGTGACATTTAATTATTGAGAATTTGATTATAATAAAATTTTTGTTAACTTTATTTACATATTAAATTAAAGTAACTTTAGTCGATGCTATTAATATTTTGCATGCTTTTATAAATGAACATAATATGTAGTTGAGTCAGTTTGAATAAAAATATCGTTATTGAAACGATTTTTAATTTTTTATATCGATATGTCGATATATCGGATCAAAATATATCGGCCAAAAATATCTATGTAGTTTTAAAAAAAAATCGATATATCGATATTTTTTCGGCATCCCTAAGGGGTTATATTATATTTGACAAGTGACAACATAATAAAGATGGCTTCTGCGGCATAAGCCTAACCTCTATTTGCCTCTATTAACATTGACGTTTTGATTAAGGCGCATTTTAATTTTGTTTGCTATCTAGTTTTAAGAAAAATACACCAAACAAATTAGAAGAAAAATTAAGTGACAATGGCGGACGCGGCTGCGAGACAGCTGCAATATGAATATAAAGCGGTAAGTAAAGATCAATATTTTGTTTGAAAATAACTTCATATTTGTTGTTGTGCAATTCAATTCACAACTTGTGATAAAAAATAATCATGGTTTAAACTAAATAAGATCAACAAGGTAAATGTTAAATAAGCAGATAACATTGTTCTTAATAAAGTATAAACAATCATGATAGTTATCTGGTGTTTTGTTTTAGTGGTTGCTATTTGGTGCCTTTGGACCTCGTGACTTATTTTTATTTTGGAACAAAATGATATTATTTTGAAGACTTTGTGTTCTCGTCAAAGTCAAAGAATCGTCAAGTTTTTCGAATTCTTTACTAGCTGTATTTACTGTCTAACCAGCATATCATTACAACTTACAAACATATTTGAAATTGAACAACTTTTTTGACAATATTGCCAGCATTTCTTCTTCTTAAGTATCTCATAAGCTTCAGAAGATTTAAGAGATTGTATTGTATTTCTTGTACATTTTTTTACTGTGTGAAAAATTATATTTTAACATAACAATTTCTAGTATTTACAGGGCTCTGAATTAAGTCGCCCAAATTTAAGTGCATTGTAAGTTTTGGCGGGGGGATAATGAGGTTCTTACCTAGCACTCTGCGTAAAAATTGAATAAACTATTTTCTAAAATTTCGAATATCGTTTTTACAACGATAATTCGAACGAGAGATGTCGCCATTGCTTTTTTAAAATTTCGAATATCGTTTTTTGCACAACGATAATTTTGTATGCTGGAAAGGATATAACGAGAGATGTCGCCATTGCTTTAAGAAAACTACGTAAGAAAGCTTTTTTTAATTGTTTTATAGTGCTAATCTTTGCACTTAAGTAACTTAGTAAATTGTTTGTATGCTGGAAAGGATATAACAATAGATGGCGCCAAGCATTGCTTCAAATGCTAAGAAAACAATGTAGAAGAATACGTTAAGATTTTCGTCGGTGTGGCAATCAGCCGTTTAGCTCAGTGGCTAGAGCGTCAGGCCGCGAATGCCGAAGACGTGGGTTCGATTCCCACAACGGCGACAATCTTTTCGCACTTTTTCTACATAATATTTTAATGTTCAATCTTAAGTGCAAAGATTAGCACTATAAACAATTTAAATTTCTAAAAAAGCAATGGCGACATCTCTCGTTCGAATTATCGTTGTAAAAACGATATTCGAAATTGTTTGTATGCTGGAAAGGATATAACAATAGATGGCGCCAAGCATTGCTTCAAATGCTAAGAAAACAATGTAGAAGAATACGTTAAGATTTTCGTCGGTGTGGCAATCAGCCGTTTAGCTCAGTGGCTAGAGCGTCAGGCCGCGAATGCCGAAGACGTGGGTTCGATTCCCACAACGGCGACAATCTTTTCGCACTTTTTCTACATAATATTTTAATATCTGCATAGAGTTTTTGCCTTCAAAATTCTAATGAAATTATTTATGATCTTCAGAACTCCAATCTTGTACTACAAGCTGATGTTCGTCTAATAGAGAGACGAGGACGGGATGAGGCAACCGGGGAGGTGCTGTCCCTGTCCGGAAAGCTGGGTGGCACTCGTATGGGTGATAGGGCACAACGGACAAAGCCAGATAAAGCGGAGGAGAGAAAAGCAAAGTAAGCAATGAGTGATATGATAATGGATTTTTTTTTAAGTAGGTAGAAATTCTTTTATATGAACTGATTTAACTGTACCACTAGATTGCTGTTTTGTAAACACAGTTCTTCAAATGTTAGGATCTAGATATGGTAAACGATTTTACCACTGCATAGTGCATTATATATGGTCCATTAGGAGGCAACTTTTCACAGGCGCATTATTTAAAGAATGCATTACTCGCAGCAGTTTACATTTCGGCCCATTATTGTAAAATTAACAAATCCATGAAACAACTGTCGGCAAGTTGCTAAATTACGAATCCGCATTCAACATACGCACCCTTCCAGGCGTCAGAAACGCGACGAGGCGTCTTACGAGCTCTCCAAGTCGAAGAGCGCTCGCGCCGCCTGGGCGGATGACACACCCGGAGTGCTGTACAGGCCTAGGGCCCAGCACACTAGGCATGCGTACGAATTGATGCTCTCCTTCATGCAGAGCGCTCTTGGTGACCAGCCGAGGGACGTGCTATGCGGTGCCTGTGACGAGGTGAGCGGAGGGGGGGGGGGGGGGGGGGGGGGGGTGGGGGGGGGGGGGGGGGGGGGGGGGTTTGTTGTTTTTTTTTTGGGGGGGGGGGGGGGGGGGGGTGGTTTTACTTTGCAAGAACTTTATTTTTTCGTTTTTAGAAAAATAAACTTTTCAATTGGTTATTTTAATGTATATCATTTAAGGAGGTTTAGTTAGTGAGAGGTCTGTATCACAGCAGTGGGAGAATGAATAGGGTGGGCTTTTGAGAGGAGATGGTTGAAGGATTTCCAGAAGATTTGTGGTATAATGAATAATTGATGTTTATTATAGTGTAAGTATAAGTGTAGCAGTGCATTGAAAAGCTGACATTTTGTATCAAATTCATTATATAATACTATTTTTTATCTAGAGGTCAATTCTCTATAACAAGTATCTGATTGTTTTGATATTATATTTAGAAAGTTATAAAAAGATGTTGATTCACAATTGATTTCTTTTGAATATTTCTATTAAATGAAATGACATACCTTTTAATCTTGCATTTATATAAAACATTGACCTTACTGTTGGATAAGATTATCCTGTGCTGTAAGTATGTTTTATGAACATAAATATGACATGGACAACCACCCAGATCCGAAACAATTTTCTTTGTGTTACACAAATAGTTGTCCCATGTGGGAATCGAATCCGTGACGCCTGGCGCCAAAGCCAATACCTTTACAACTGCGCCACTGTGTCATCAAATATCTGTATCTATACTGTGTTTCTATGAAAACCCTTAACCCAGCAGCAATATGTGACTCAAAATACTTAGCTTATTCTGGTTCTTTTGTAGTAGACCATAACATTATTTTTTCTCCAATCTGTGACGCAAAATACTTTTTTATTCTGGTTCTTTGGTAATAGATAATAACAATATTTTTTCTCCAATCCGTGAAGAAAAATACTTTGTTTATTTTGGTTCTTTTGTAACAGATAATAACAGTATTGTTGTCCAGGTGCTTGTTGTGCTCAAGAACGACAAACTCAAAGACCCAGAGAAGAAGAAGGAGATTGAGCTCCTCCTCGGGCCCATAGCAGACGAGAGGTTCGCCCTGCTGGTGAACCTGGGCAAGAAGATAACAGACTTCAACATCAGCACATCGGCCGAGGGTAGCACAGAAATCGACGAGACATACGGCATCAACGTGCAGTTCGAAGAGTCCTCTGAGGAGGACGATGAAGATGCTTATGGAGAGGTGAGTGAAAGACAATGGGCCATTAGAAGTTGTTATGAAAGAGAAATATTTTTAAAATAAAGGTTTATATATTCTTTTTTTTACGAGTGCTCAGTGTCCGTAAAATTAGTTTCATTGAATGTAATCCCGTAAATACAAGAAAAACAAAATAAAACTGCACACTCAAAGGTGTTGGCAAATGATTAGTTGTTCAAAAGAACTGGCTCACTTCTCATATTACTTCATACCATTCCAATGCCTGCTGAAAGAAAGCTGTTTAATGTCGAGAATGTCTGTACATGCAAGTTCTAGTTACCCTTGATGCTTAAATTTGCAATGAATAAATCTTATGAGCCCAAAACCGAGACTAAAATGCTTCAGATGTTTTTATAAATCAAATTGTATATTACTTTAGTATTGCAAGTAAATTGATCTGTCGAGAATGTCTGTGTGGATAAGTTCCAGTTAGCCTAAATACTTAATTTGCAATGAATTGCAAGATCTTTGGGTCTTTTGGTTTTGGGTTACTGAAATGAAAAATAATTATTTTAAGTTACGTTTGTATTGTAAGTAAATTCTTCTGTCTCTATAGGTCAGAGATGAAGATAAAGAAGATGGCGAGGGTTCAGAAAATGAACAAGACAAAGAGAGCAGCGCAGAAGATGACAGTGATGGAGAAGGAAAGAAGAATGCAATACACGCCAATGTTAGTCTACTTCTTAAAGCTCTTTTATCAAACTTTTTCCCAATTTTGAGTCATTTTTGAGTTAGCTTGTGTTGGATTCCACTTATTAAATGTACTAATGCCACTAGACTTAAATGTATTTTCAATAATATTTTGAATGGAGATTAGATAATTATGGATTAACATATCTATAGTTTTATCCACAGCAATTAACTGCTTTTCGCCCTCAGGAACTAAATGGTAGCCTGACAAAAATCAGCCAAGCAAAATCAGCAAAAGTTATATTATAGCGAAGCGCCGACGCCAATGGTTTAGCAACTGCGGCTGTGCAGGTAGTAAACTATTGGCTTCGGCGACGGACGTCGTGGGTTCGATTCCCACACTGGACAAGTATTTGTATGACAATTCTTCAGCTGCAGGTGTTTGTTTTCAAGTAGGGTTGACATTGGTCTAGCCAATACCAGCCATATATATATATAGATATATATGAGAGAAGTTTCGAAATAATGTTATTTTATACAAGTGGTTCCATCTATGGTAGCCCCCTTAGTACTTTTCTACTACTAGCGCCGTGTATATTGTAAGAAAGAGTGAACGAGCGAATGTGAATGGCGTACGATCATATCCCTTAGTAGTTCGGTCCGACCCGAAGTGAATTAACGATCACTAACGGCTGACGATCGACCGGTGACCGGCACCGGTTGTGCGCACTCATTCTTACGAATAACGACATAATCGACAGCCACGAACAATAATAAATCTACTTCATTCTCCGAAATATATATATATTAAATCCATACATTAAATGTCTGTATTCAACTTTACAGCTCACCGAAGAGCAGACGCAGAAGCGTCGAGACGCGACTCTTCACCCCATGGACATAGACGCCTACTGGCTACAGCGACGCCTCTCAAGGCACTTTTCTGACGCCATGTTGTCACAAGCCAAATCCAGCGAGGTGGGTAATAATAGTTGGTAACATTCGTAAAAGAAACTAATTTTACAAATTCATCGCGTGGCAGCTTCAACTGTTGCATGAATGGGCAGGCTCATGCTAGGAAATGCCTCACAGAAGACTGGTGTGAAGTGGAAGTATAACACTTCTAGAGTTTAGTTAGGTGAGTTCTCCGGGGCGGATTATTTTAAAGGATTTCAAGGCATCTGTAAGCCCTCGGGGTGTTGTAGCTTTTTAGGTTAAAACTAGCCTGTCCCATGATCGTGACCGCTGAAAACGGTTCGAAACGTCGGGAAGTACAATTTGAAAATATAAACGCGGCCGATGTGGCAGCATAGTTCTCGAGATGGACTTACGACCTGTTCTAAGTCCGCTGCAGGTCGCTTCAAACCGATCGAATTGGAAATCCCTAGAGGAGGCCTATGTTCAGCTGTGACCGCTTACAGGCTGAAATGATTACGATGATGATGAAACGCGATGATCAGCGAAATTTGTTAAATTTAGGCAAATTAATTACTTGTGCTGTAAGGTCATTCAGCTGAGGGGCTGAAGCGTCTGCGTGCGAATCTGGAAGACGTGGGATGGTTGCTTTTTGTCCTATTTTTGTTCAAATTTTAATCACACGGTCACCCAAGTTATATTAATGTTCACATCATGTTCCAGGTGCTAAAAGCCCTCGCGGAGGCCGCCGACGACAGGGACCTGGAGAACAGGCTGGTGCTGCTTCTCGGTTACGACTGCTTCGAGTTTGTCAAAGTCCTCAACAAATACAGATACACAAGTCAGTACATATCTTTTAATGAAAGTATATTCACCTTGAAGTTGAATATCAATTGTGCTGAATGAAAAATATCTATCTTAAAATCTGGAAAAAGCCATATGTCTTGACAACAGATTTATACATTACAAAATATCAGCAATTTTATTTGAGAAAACTTTTGTATAAGTTATTTTTTTGCAATAAGTTCTTTTTGTTGTAAGTAAAATATTTTCAGTCATAATTTACTGTCTTTTCTTTGAGAACGGACTGTCTTTTTACTTAGCTCTATTGTATCACTTCCAATTGAAACATAACTGGCAAGAAATAATACTTATACAAAATACCCTAACAACCACTAACTAAGCCAAGCCCCTATCTCAGGACTGTGACTTTACACGATATTTTCACAGTATTGTACTGCACAAAGCTGGCCTCATCACAGTCAGAGAGCGAGAGGGCTGCCATTCGAGAGGAGATGTCGAAGCAGCCGCATCTGCAGAAGATCTTGGCGCAGTTGGAGACAGGGAAAGGGGATGAAGAGGTGGGGGCAGTTCACCTGATATTTAGCATTGGAAATACACCATCTAAACTTTAAACTTAACATGCATCAGACAACTTATCGATTTAAACAGGTGGTTCGAGCAATTGATTTTGTATTGTTTGATTAAATTTCTTTGATGTGGGATTGTACATCTCTTGTGGTAGGGCCACGAAGCATCTTCTGATGTTGCATGAATGGATGGGCAGATGTTCTTAGAAGTACCATAATCTTATAAAAAGTAGAAGCATTCGTAATTTTGTATTTTGCCAATTCGTAACTTTATGCAACATAAAAGTACGATAAAAACAGTAACAAATAATGTAATCCTTCTTAAAGATGGCGCAGCAGTCTGAGGTGCCCAGGAAAAGGCAGAAGACGGAAGCCGAGAGTACAGAAGGCGCCGGCCAGGTGACTGGCTCTCGAAAGGTGCTGGCCCTGGATGAACTGGTCTTTGCAGCTGGCTCCCACTTTATGGCAAACAAAAGGTGCCAGTTGCCACCAGGGTCCTTCAGGAAACAGCGGAAAGGTGAGTCTACTCAGACTTCCTGCTTCCTAACTGATCCCAGGACACAGCAGTTCTATGTTAACACACAGTCCTAGGATCTTAGTAGATCCAGCTGCGTCTTAGCACATAGCCCTCCATTTATTAACAGTGTACAGGGGAAAATGTTTGTACATAAAAATTTAGCTTATGTACCTTTGTGTTCACAAAAATCAAGAACTAGTAGATGAAGAATACCTATTTTTGTGAACAAACATCAAGTAAATTGATATTTGTTCACAAAAATAGGCATTGAACAGGAGAGTGTTTTATATACTTTTTATTCCGAAGTTTATTTTTATTCATCAGAAATGTGAAAAAAAATCCACAGCGTAATGTGGCCGGGGTTCAACTAGTAAGATATAAAATACTGTCTAGGTTTCATATCCGTACTATAAGTTTTTTTTTTATGGTGAAAGGGGCAAACAACCAGGAGCCTCTCACCTGATGGTAAGTGAAGACCTGCAACACCAGAGGGTATACAAATGCATTGCTGGCCTTTTAGCCATTGGATGTCTGTGGTGTATTTGAAATTTTGTTATGAAAATTATTGTTATCCTATAGGCTATGAGGAGGTGCATGTGCCAGCTCTGAAACCGAAACCATTCGAGGAGGACGAGACCCTGGTGCCAATCGAGAAGCTGCCCAAGTATGTGCAGCCAGCCTTCGAGGGCTTCAAGACGCTGAACAGAATACAGGTAGACAAGTGTTATATGGCGCGTTAGCTGTAAATGTTACCACATTAATCTATAGAGATCTAGAGAGTTATATAGATTTCATTGCTTTACGTCGTACTTAGTGCAAGGTGTTCTAATTAGCACCTATTCTTATTATTTATTTTGTGCAAATAACAACCTTTTTTTTATTTTCGTCTTGACCATCGCAATCGACAATGTTTTAGTCTTTGCTCGACCTTGTATAGGAAACTGGTAGTTATTCTAATGTTAATGACATAAGTTTGTGCCGGTTTGGTGGTAGGCACGTTATGTTCAGAATATTAAGGTCGTCGGTTCGCCACTCTTGTTATTTTTTCTTGTTCTCATGAGTACTTTAAATGGAAAGCCCCTTTAAAGTACTCATGAGAACAAGAAATAATAATAATAACAAGAAGCAGAAAGAACATAGTAATAATAAAATGTTATTTTCGATTTCTCGCAGTCAATTGTTGAAGTTATTATTGTTACATTGAATTCGTTTTTTTTATAATCAAACCAATTAAATTTTTATCGTCTTACCTTCTATCGTCATATTATTCTTCTAACTTATCTAAGAAATGACTGATCTTGGGTTTTACTTTGATGTTTTATTATTTTGACTCTGATTTTTGAAATTCGGAACTGGATATCAAAGTAGTTAAATATTTTAATTTTGGTTCCCTTTTTTCCGCCTTTCGCGAACCGCCTTTTTTCTGCAAGAACTTTTTTCTTGCAGTTCGTTAAGTGATAACCGCCGCCCATACACATTTGCAACACCCGTAGGAGTTCCAGATGCCACCTATTAATACAGTGGGCCCCGGCTACCAGACGTTATTCACGCAGACAAAACGTGAAGTGGAACAACTCGGCAACAAGTTGTATCGAAGATTATAGAAATAAATGAATTTTTATTTTATTTTTTATGGTGGTACCTCGGTAGCCGACTTCGAGTTATACTCTGACTGCGATTCTTGGTCCCAGAGCCGGATCTCGAAGGCGGCGCTGGAGACCGACGAGAACCTGCTGGTGTGCGCGCCCACCGGCGCCGGGAAGACCAACGTGGCGCTGCTCTGCGCGCTCAGGGAGGTCGGCAAGCACGTGAACGACGACGGAACGGTGAACGTGGGCGACTTCAAGGTCATATACGTGGCGCCGATGCGCTCGCTCGTGCAGGAGATGGTAAGCGGGCGGCGAACGGTGGTGGGGTGGGTGGTCGTTGATGGTCGTCGGTGGTCGTTGATGGTCGTCGGTGGTCGTTGATGGTCGTCGATGGCCTAAGACGTAAGCAAATTAGCTCCGCGTACCCTGGCGTCCTTTACAAATATGCCCTAAAACGCGACACCCGATAGCTTAGTTTGAAAAGAACTTTTTTAGTAAAAGAAAATACTCAACATCCCTACAGCCATTTCATAGGCCACTTTGGATATCATTTAAGTGACTTGTTACGTTATGGTGACCGCTGGTGGTAGTGGCAGTCGATTCGGGCACAATAGCAAAAGTGGTGTTAATCCTAGTGGCAAGTGGCGACGCTAATTAATATGTACACATTAGGTAACCATTACTAATATGGCTCGCCCGTTTACTAAAAATATTGAAATAAAAATAATTATGTAACTGCAATTTATTACAGACCATATTTACTTGATATATGAGTATAGTCAAATATTTAGCAAGTGAGAAAATATAGTGTTAGGGCAAAGATTAATAGACATGGCTAGTAACGAAGAATTAAATGAAAATCAAATTAATGAAGTACTATAATCTAATATAATCTACATTACAACACTCATGAAATTAAAGTACTGTATTAAAGATGCATCTTGCAGATGCAAAAAAAAATTGACTTTATTTTTAAAATTAGATTTGTTTGATTTTTTTTTATGTTAAAAGTTGCCAAACGAGCAGACGGTTCACCTGGTGTTAAGTGAATACCGCCGCCCATGGACATCTGCTGCACCCGTAGTATTGCAAATACATTGCCACCTTTAAATTAAGTGGACTCCGGATATCTCGCTCACCAGACCAAACGCGAGGTTGTGGTACTTACCCGGAAGAGCCTGCCTATTCGTGCAACAGCCGAGGCTGCTGCGTGGCCCTACCACCGTAAAATTGTCTAACAACCGCCCGACGCTATTTAGAGGGCATAATTTCAATACATTCATTAGTTTAAGACATTATTAATTACATAGAAACAAACAACTCCTCTTTGTAATATTATTGTATATAGGATTCTAAGTTTGATGTGTCACACTTGAAAAATTTGGATATTGCTTTATTTTAACAGGTTGGCAACTTCAGCAAGCGCTTGGCAGCATACAACATGAAGGTCTCTGAGTTGACAGGCGACCACCAGCTGACCAGGGAGCAGATTGACGCCACACAGCTGATAGTCTGCACCCCGGAGAAGTGGGACATCATCACTAGAAAAGGTGGGTTCCGTTCGCTTACCCAGATACAGAGAAATATCAAATAGACATAAAATTTCGTTCCGAGACGCCTTTGAAATTTCAATCATGGCTTTAGAAGTCTTTTTAATCGGCAACCGTTTTATACGTTCTGCTATATATACAATTATAGAATATATGAGTTAAAGTTGTAAAAGTTGCTAAGGCTACAGTTGAGGTGGTGGGTTCGATTCCCATACGGCACAAATAAGTGTTCTCGTGGTTATTCTGGATCTAGGTATTTGTTCACATGAAGGGTTGAAGTTCGGGCAGGCAGCAGGGATTCCATAAAGGATTTTTCCCTCCTTAAAAAGGGCCTCATCTGGGGAAGACCCTCACTGAAGACGGACGTGAAATGGAAGTGTACTTATGCGTTTCGTCTGGTGACTGAGGTAACCGGGGCCGACTTTATTAACTGATTGCAACGCATCTACCACTCCTCTGGTGTAATAGACGTCCATGGGCGGCGGTTACACTTACCATCGGGTGACACGCCTGCTGGTTTGTCAACTTATAACATAAATGAAAGAGGGAGAGAGGTGATATCAGACGGTGACGATGAAGCCAATCCCGTGCCCTTGTTCTTCGCAGGAGGCGAGCGCTCGTTCACCAACCTGGTGCGGCTGATCATCATCGACGAGGTGCACCTGCTGCACGACGAGCGGGGGCCCGTGCTCGAGGCGCTCGTGGCGCGCACGCTGCGCACGGTCGAGCACACGCGCGAGGAGGTCACCACCGCCGTCAAACACACACACACACACACACACTCAACACACACACACACACACACACACACACACACACACACACACACACACACACACACACACACACACACACACACACACACACACACACACACACACACACACAAATAAACACACGATTGCCCTTATGGGTAGTGACCCTGCCTCTTGTGGCGGAGACACCCACACGGTTCGATCCCCACCACTGGAAAAATATTGTGTTACGATAATAATGGTTTTCCAGTGTCCGGGTGTTTATATATTTGTGATACGTATTCCTAATATAGTGATGTACCTGATGTTAAGTGAATACCGCCGCCCATGGACATCTGCCACACCCGAGGGTTACAGATGCGTTGACAACCTTTTGAAAATTGGACTCCGGCTACCTCACTCACCAGACGAAACGCGAAAGTATTTGTCATACTTCCACTTTACGCTGGTCTTTTGTGAGGTCGTGGTACTTACCCGGACGGGCCTGCCCATTCGTGCTGCTGCGTGGCCCTACCACCGTAATGAACAATATAATATTTCTTGAATCTTCATTACTATCACTCGAAATCAATTCTCGTTTCAATATTTTCCACTCGTAATGGCGGTTAATGAACACATAGATCAATTATTGCAGGTGCGACTCGTCGGTTTATCGGCTACCCTGCCGAACTACTCGGACGTCGCTGCCTTCCTCAGGGTCCGACCCGAGAAGGGACTCTTCTACTTTGACAACTCGTTCAGGTATGCCACGACAAGATCGTCCCGCATTCGAAACTCAATCACCCCTAGATCTATACTTAGTAACGACTAAGTATAAATCTAGGGGTGATTGAGGTTGAGGCACACGTGTCTCCTCTTCTAATGTGTTAAAGTGCCATCTGTTGTCGAGTAGATTAACTAAAGCAAGAATAGAATTAGGGTCAGTCTGTGAATTCAAAATAAATGCGGAATTTCAATTGAACACCACTATATAATATGCGAATATGATTTTTTCTATACGCCATATATATGATTTTTTCTATGTTTGCCAGAAAAATCTTAAATTTACTAGTAGAAAGAAGACAACATTTTAGTTTCTTCTTTCTACTAGTAAAAAAGGAATTAAAACAAAAAAAAAATCATTTAAAATTTTTCGTTCGCAATTCGTTATTTGTAATAAATGTTTTAAAATTTTAAGCTATCATTTTAACTCCTGTTTATGATTCTATTGGCCGTTGTGCCCCCTTTCTACCTTACCATTGTTCCTCCTTTTAATCTGATTAAAGCGATAAATCTAATTCTCTCTCTTATGCACACTCTTCCAGGCCCGTGGCACTAGAGCAGCAGTACATTGGCGTCACGGAGAAGAAGGCTCTGAAGAGGTTCCAAGTCATGAACGACATCGTCTACGAGAAGACGATGGAGCACGCGGGAAGAAACCAGGTGGGTTTCGGCGACCAGTTATAGGAAAGAACAGAAAAGAAAGAATGAAACAGCAAACATAACCTTACAGAAGAGAAAAGAAAGATTTAAAAAAGGCAAACTTGACCTTACAACCTCCTTTTTATACATTACAGTTGTGCGATATTTAGCGTTCTGTCTCAACGAAGTTTTTTTGTAGACTTGCAAAGGGAGCGAGATAGAAACAGACATGGACTGTGGTGGAAAAGAACAAGATAAACGTGCATAAGATTAACTTCTGAGTTTATTTATGGCCTATATTGTTAGTGTCACTTAAAAGAAAACCGTAACAGTTTTGTTTAACTCGTTATGCTCATCCCGCAGATCCTGGTGTTCGTGCACTCGCGCAAGGAGACTGGGAAGACGGCGCGCGCGATCAGGGACATGTGCCTGGAGAAGGACACCCTCGGCCAGTTCCTCAGGTTGGTGCCGGGGTCGATGAGGGGTACAAGGAGTTTTGGGGAACCGTATGCCCAACAGTGGGGAATTTTCTTCATGCCTCAATTGGCTGGTAGTTCAACCGGATCATAAATGCAAAAGTATAAATACTTAATGCCAACATCATAAGAGACTACTCTTATAGTCTGCTGTTTTGCTCGCTGTAGTTAGGTTTCACACTTAAGGTAAGGACCTCTCTCTTGAATTGGTTCAGACACCAGAAACTACATTTTATTAACACTGCTATGTATTGACTTAATAAAGGTTTAAATTTTACACTATCGGATTCAACCTTAGCCATGCTCCTGGCTCGGGCCACAGTGACAATGCTGTCCTGTTACTGAAAATTAAATTTTTTAAGTGTCCCCCACAAAGAATTCTTTTTTTCTCGAATTTTGCCATGCCTCAAAATCTGCCAATAAGCCAGCCACTAATAGTGTGAGTAATTTCTTTCATGAGTACTAGGTTATGTTATGTGCACACAGTTTTTGAAACACTGATGATCAGCTATTAAATGGCTTTTCAAATGTCGATTGAGTTGCAAAAAGGATGGTTCAGATCAGAAAAAGATCAGGACGTTGTTCCTAATGATCAGAATGATCAATTCAGAGTTTCAGAGAGTTTAACAATCCTTTTGGCAACTCAAATGAAAATTGAAAAAGCATTTGACAGCTGATTAGTTAATTTCTACAATGATCAGTGTTAAAGAAACCGGGCCGAAACATTACAGTATAATATTTCCACTACACGCCGAGGCCGCGGTATTTTCCCGCCCGAGCCACGCCGATTGTCCAATGATTTCTATTCGATGATGCGTTTTCTATTGGCGTTTCTTCTTTATTTCTCTATCTTTCCTAACTTTAAAATTTGTAGATAAAAGGAATGAAAAGAACCTCGCCGTCGTGGGACTCGAACCCATATCTTCGGGATTCGCGCTGACGCCTCTAGCCACTAAGCTATACGGCTGATTGCCACACCTACGAAATTTTCAAACGCCTTTTATCTAAGTTGTGTTTTAGCATTTGAAGCAACGCTTGGCGCGGCAATTTCTTAAAATCAATGGCGACATCTCTCGTTCGAATTATCGTTGTTAGATGATATTCAAAATTGTTTATATGCTGGAAAGGATATAACAACGATAGACGACCCGATTGGCGTGGGGAGTAGGTACCCTGCCTCCTGCGCCAGAGGGTGTGGGTTCGATCCCCACTACGGGAAAAATATTGTGATGAACATCGTGTTTTTCCAGTGTCTGGGTGTTTATATATGTATAATATGTATTTGTTTACAAAAGAAAAGTATGTTTAAGTAAGTTTATCAGTTTTCTAGTACCCATAAGACAAGCGTTGCTTAGTTTGGGACTAGAAAACGTTGTGTAAAGAATGTGTCCGAAATATTTATATTATATTTTATATCGAAGTGCAGAGATTAGTACTATAAAAAAAAATTAAAAACTTCCCACCTTCGTCAGGGAGGGCTCGGCCAGCGTGGAAGTTCTGAGGACGGAGGCGGAGCAGGTGAAGAACCCGGAACTGCGTGAGCTGCTGCCGTACGGCTTCGCGATCCATCACGCCGGCATGAGCAGGGTGGACAGGACCCTGGTCGAGGACCTGTTCGCCGATAGGCACATACAGGTGGGCGGCGAATTGCTTGTCGACTACTGTATCTACCATTGAACTAGGGATGTCGAAAGTGGGGAAATATATCGATATTTATAAAAATATCAATTTCGACTTCGATATATCGATATTTTCTTTTTAGGCCAAAATAAACGTATTTCAAGTATTAAATATTTTTATCTATCTACGGACTCGGTGCTGGATTCGATTTTGAAAAAATATTTGTTTTTGATACGATTTCGGATCAAAATATATCGGCTAAAATATCAAATTTTTGCGACATCCCTATATCAAACAGCGATATCGGCTCAGAGGTTGTCATTATTAGTGACTGGAGGAATGTGTAGCTCTTCAAATTGGTCTATAACAATTCAAAGTCAAAGTCAAAGTATATTTATTAAATATAGGCATAACTTAACCTAAAAAATCTACCACCGGTTCACTAAACTAGACCTGCACAGAGAAGAACCGGCAAGAAACTCTGCGGTCTTGTTCTTTTTGTTTGATGCAATTATACACACTTATTTAGGTATAAAATCAGCAGCAGCCAGGGGTCTTGCAATATATAGAAAATGTTATGTTTTCTTTTGGGACATAGTTTACATAGGATGAGGGGTGGATAATGTTGATTTATAACATTTGTATAATGTTAGCGTCAATATTAACCGCATCATAGATGCACAACAGGTGAGCTATGGCAGTCATAGCGGAGGGAGCTTTACCTGTTGCTGAATGTTGTGGCACACAACTATCCGGGTGCTGTCTGACCGTCTGTTTCTCCTCCAGGTGCTGGTGTCAACGGCAACCCTCGCGTGGGGCGTGAACCTACCCGCGCACACGGTGGTGGTGAAGGGCACGCAGGTCTATTCGCCGGACAAGGGCAGGTGGAGCGAGCTGGGCGCCCTGGACGTGCTCCAGATGCTCGGCAGGGCGGGCAGACCGCAGTACGACACCAAGGGAGAAGGTGGGTCTTGGTGGACTTTCCACCAGACTTTTTTTCTTGTCTTCTTTTTTATCATTATTTTGTTTTGGAGTGTTTGATTGTTTATCCTTATTTGGATATGTCAACCCCATTAGGGTGAATGAATGAATGAATATACTTTATTGCACACCAAAACTAAAAACAAACAAAATTAAAACTTAATGTAGAAGCAATGGGTACAATGGGCGGCCTTATTGCTAAGAGTAATTTCTTCCAGGCAACCTTTGTATTCTTTATAACCTTTGGCAACCAGGTGTATGTTGGGGTGCAACAAACCCTTCTTTTCGCTAGGCTTTCATCTGTTTCTTCCTACCACACCCTTACCCAACCTCTATACCCTAAACCTGCTCAAGCCACATGCTATTCACATTCAATATTGACTTCAAAGAAGACAGGGTATCTTAGAGTTTTCTCTTCATGAGATTTCCACATATATTTAAAAAAAAGTCGCGTCTAATAATAAAAATATAAATATATATAATAATATAAATTAAACAATGTCCTTTACAGTACATTTTTATTTTATGTACGAAGATGGCAAGCGAGCCGGCGGTTCACCTGATGTTAGGTGATAACCGCCGCCCATGGACATATGCAACACCCGTAGGGCTGCCACCTTTTAATAAAGTGCGCCCGAGCTACGTCACTCACCAGAGAAAAGCATAAATGTAACACTTCCACGACGGTCTTCTGTGAGGTCGTGGTACTCACCTGGACGGACCCGCTCGTCCGTGCAACGACGAATTGCCCATATACAAAAAAAAACTCTTACATGCAGACAAATATCCGGAATCTAAAACCTTTCCGCAGGCATCCTCATCACGAACCACTCGGAGCTGCAGTACTACCTCTCGCTGCTGAACCAGCAGCTGCCCATAGAGTCGCAGATGGTCAGCAAGCTGCCCGATATGCTCAACGCCGAGATCGTCCTTGGCTCTGTGCAGAGTGTCAGGGACGCTGTCACTTGGCTGGGTGAGTTGTTTTTTTTTTTGTGCCTTTTTTTTGTGGGAAAAATCCTTTATGGATCCCCTGCCGCTGGATCGGGGGAGTGGCAGGGGTATTTGGGAGTCCCCATGAGAAACGGGTAGCCACTAAAAAACCCACGTTGCACCTGTCTCTGTCGCATCGGCCGGGGACACCTGTACCGATTCTCCGACTATGGCTTTTTTAGGCGTCCTCTACTGCATGGTGTTGTGCCCCTGCAATTGGCACGGCACACGTCACTAGCCCCATGTTGAGCGACAGACACCCCCATGTCTGACGCTTACGGTCTCACTATCAGGCGGTTTGTGTGCCTACCTAATCTTCTCTAAGGTCGACTTGGAGATAATGCCTTTGGCATTAAGTTTGCCTTTGTACTTTTTGTGCAAAAAGAATTAATAAATAAAAAATCAATCTTGGATTATTTATTGGACTGATGATATATACAAACATTAATTGCCTTAATTATTTATATCAAAGTTATTAATATTTTATTATTGTTATTAAAATTTTTAGTTTTGTTTACATCTTTCTCACACTGGTGTATAGATATTAATTTATTTTAATCAGGGTATAAATTTGTATCAGGAAAACTGTGTTCACCTATAATCGTTGCCACATTTACAGTTTTTTTTTTTACTTTTTTAGTTAATCTGCGTGCTTAATGTATTTTATTATATATTGGCGAACCTTAAGAAAATAAATAAATAAATAATTAAGCAGCTGCGATAGCTCAGTGTCCGGGCGCTCGGCTTTAATTCAATTTACTCGAGTTCAATTCAATTTAATTTTGGAATCATCATTCAAACGCCCCCCTCGATTTCAGGCTACACGTACCTGTACGTGCGGATGCTGCGAGCGCCCTCCCTCTACGGCATCACGCCGGAGAAGATGCAGGAGGACGCGCTGCTGGAGTCGCACCGCGCCGACCTGGTGCACACGGCCGCCTGCCTGCTGGACAAGTGGGTGCTGTGGGCCCGAGCCTCTCTCTCCAACTATCTCTCTCTTGCTCCTTCTATTTATTTTTTGGGCTCCGTACCCACAGGGCAAAACGGGACCCAATTACTATGAGACCGTTGTCTGTCCGACTGCCTGTTCGTCTGTCACCAGGCTGTATCTCGTGAACCGTGATAGGTAGATAGTTGTAAATTTTACAGATTGTGTATTTCTGTTGCCGCTATAACAACAAATACTAAATAGAGAGATTAAAAAAATATTTAAGGGGCCCTCCCATGCAACCATGCGCGATTCCGACTCGCACTTGGCGGTTTTTTTTAGGACAGCACCCTCCATCCGCCGCGTATTGGGCGGCAGACGCACCCATGTCTATCCTTCCCTCTCTCCCCAGGGCCGGACTGATAAAGTACGAGCGCAAATCGGGCCACCTGCAGCCCACCGAGCTGGGCCGCATCGCGTCCCACTACTACTGCACGTACGAGACGATGCAGTCGTACAACCAGCTGCTGAAGCCGACCCTCGGCGAGATCGAGCTGTTCCGCGTGTTCTCGCTCTCCGCCGAGTTCAGGAACATCGCGGTCAGGGACGAGGAGAAGCTCGAGCTGCACAAGCTGATGGAGAGGGTAAGGGGGGAGTCGGGGGGGTTGAGATTAGATCAATATTTTTTTTTTAAATTGCCCTTAACATTTTCGCATATAACGTTGTAACGCAGGGGACGTTTAAAAATTCATATTGTGTAAAAGATGTTATAATACAAAATTACATATTGTTCGACGGAGTCTTCGGTATGAAAAAGTACGAATAACTTTCGAATGTATTGTTAATTTACCGCCGTCGTAGAAATTTCTTGCGTTGTCCTTCAGTTCTTGCGTTGAAGTATGATGTGGCATGTGAGGATTTTAAGTCCATTTTCACAGATAATTTAAAAAAAAATCATATCACATACCTAACCTAACCTAACTCACTGATAATATAATCGCTTTCTTTGACTGGCCTGAACAGCCATTGTCAATGTAGCATTTGATGCGTTTTTATCTTTGTTTTCAATTTGGCTTAAAGGCCTTGTTACGAGGCCATAAAATCTTTACTAAAAAAGAATTGTTTTCAATTAATGTAACTAGAAGAAGATCAGCGACAGCACCACGGCTATGTAAGCCTCTTGCATAAGAAGAGTGGGGCGTGACAAGTCGGCTTTTGCATTACAGGTGCCCATACCGATCAAGGAGAGCATAGAGGAGCCGTCAGCGAAGATCAACGTCCTGCTGCAGGCGTACATATCGCAGCTGAAGCTGGAGGGGTTCGCTCTGATGGCGGACATGGTCTACGTCACGCAGTCAGCGTGCAGGCTGCTGAGGGCGATATTCGAGATTGTTCTGCACAGAGGTTTCTGTTTTACACATCCACCAGTCCGAAACTAAGCAACGCCTGTACTATGGGTGTTAGATAACTGATAAACATACATAAAGATACGTTTCTTTGGTAAATAAATACATATTATTAATATAAAAACATCCATACATTGGAAAAACACTGTTCATCGCGCAATATTTTTCCAGTAGTGTGGGGGTCGAACCTACGCCCTCTGGCGTAAGACGGGGAGTGCCCAGTGGGCAGTGGCCCACTACGCCAATCGGGTTGTCGAAGGTTGGAACTTTCATTGTGGTAGGCTCACGCTGATGACAGGCCTAGTTCGGGGATAGTAGTGTATAGTCCGCGTCGAAGAAGACCGGCGTGGAGAGGAAGTTTTGTACTTTTGCCTTCACATAGGTTGCGACCTTCATCGCGGTGACGTCACGCGGCAGTAATTGCTACACGGATGGGCAGCCTCGCCCGGGGATAGTAGTGTATAGTCCGCGTCGAAGAGGACCGGCGTTAAGTGGAAGCGTTAAACTTGTGCCTTCACATAGGTTGGGACCTTCATGGTGGTAGGGCAACGCGGCACTCTGGCGAGTGAGGTAGCCGGGGCCCCACTCGGTTAAAAGGTGGCAGTGCATCTGCGTCTCTAATGGTACCGTAGATGTGTATGGGTGGCGGTTGTCGTTTAACATCAGGTGAACCACCAGCTCGTTTGCAACCGTCTCACATATAGTGAGACCTTAAATTTAAGCATTTAGGAACATCCTGTATGCCCCTCAGCAGGGTAAAGGCCTCCTCTGTATAGAGCGTATTAGGGCATAGTCTACCACGCGGCCCCGCTGCCGATTGGCGGACTTCACACATCTTCGAAATATTTTTTTTGTTATTATTTCGATAATATTCAGGTTTCCTCAAGATGTTTTCCTTCAACACTGAGCACGAGGATAATTCAGCACTTAAAATTTACAGTTTAATTGGTTCTCCCGCACCGAGAGAAAAGAGCGAGAGAGAAAAAAAGCGAGAGCTCGGACAATGAGCTGCTATCCTGTATAAAGATACAGAACATACTGAGCTGCTGTTTTTATTTTTTAGTCATGAACAAAATTGTATGTGTTTAAGTCCGATAAATAGTTTTCTATCTAAAAATCTAAAGAAAAATTAAAGTTCTGTAACTCTCCGCCAGGTTGGGCGCAGCTGGTGGACAAAACCCTGGCGCTCTGCAAGATGGTGGACCGGCGCATGTGGCAGTCGATGTCGCCCCTCCGCCAGTTCAGGAAGATGCCCGAAGAGGTAGATATATATACCAGATGAATAATAATTGATTCGATGACTCCGTGGCGCAGTTGCCAAGGAGTGAATTGGCTTCGGCGTCGGCGGTCGCGGGTTCGAAAATAGACCATTTTTGCTCAAACATCCATAAAAATTAAATTTCTTACTGACAGTCACTCTGTTCAAACGCTTGTTTAACTTACAATGCCATGTGATTGCCCTAATATGCTTAGTATAATTGGGTAAGCAATATTTAAAAAAAGACCATACCATGGTAGCTAGTTGTCAGGATGGGTGCAAGGTCACTTCAGGTGAGGTAAGGCTTCGAATCAAAAGAGTTTATGAGTATTAAATTCAACTCCGTCTGATTGCTACGAAACAACACCGCAGGTGGTCAAGAAGCTGGAGAAGAAGAACTTCCCGTGGGAGAAGCTCTACGAGCTGGGCCCCAACGAGATAGGCGAGCTGGTGCGCGCCCCGAAGCTGGGCAAGATGATCCACAAGTACGTGCACCAGTTCCCGAGGCTCGAGCTGGCCACGCACATCCAGCCCATCACCAGGTCGACCCTGAGGGTGGAGCTCACCATCACACCCGACTTCCAGTGGGACGAGAAGGTGAGCGTGTTCGCGTCGCTACCCGACTGCCGTATGGGGGGGGGGGGGGGGATCGGGCAACGTTAGGATCGAGGTTTCTTTTTATGCAAGAGCCGAGCGAGCGTGTAGGCGTCCCTATTGCCGCGGGGGAGGGGGGGTGTGTAGATTTTCGGTGTTAAGTGATAACCGCCGCCCATTGACATTGCAACACCCAAATTAACAGATGCTGTGCATCTTTTAATTACTCACCAGATGAAGCACGAAATTTACTTTTAATCATTACCAAGAGTTACTATCAAAATCAATAAATATATTTATTCGCATAGACGCTTGCGCGTTCTTATGAAACCTCAACATTTTACATAAAAATTAATAAGTACGTAAGTAAGCTACCACTATGTGCATAAATAATACATAAGTGGCAGGCCCTATTATAACGCAGCAGTCTTCGCTGCTTCAAGTTAGGCTCCGGAATAAGGATCCAAATTTTTCTTTACGTAGAGTGTACCTGAATAAACGGGAAGTGTTCGCGTTTATAATATCAGTAAGGAAGTAAGGATAAGGATTTATCGCACACACAGTTTCCTACCAGTCCTAATAGTGAGACGATCTCCTTTCGCAGATCCACGGGCAGTCGGAGGCGTTCTGGGTGCTGGTGGAGGACGTGGACTCCGAGGTGGTGCTGCACCACGAGTACTTCCTGCTGAAGCAGAAGTACTGCCGCGACGAGCACCACGTCAAGCTGTTCGTGCCGGTCTTCGAGCCGCTGCCGCCCCAGTACTTCCTGAGGGTCGTCTCCGACAGGTCAGCGGGAGGACGCTGCATGTGAAGCCGATGTTCGAACCTCACATGGGAACCCCGCCCTCGAGGGATCGTGTCGCGCCTCCCCCTGTTATGTCCGGTTCCTATATTCAACGAACGGCCGTCAGTTAAATAGCTTCGAAACTTTCGTAACGACTTGTACATTAAAGGAACGCTAGTAACTCACCTTCCGTAGGTGCAACGGCTCGTAAGGAAAACGCCTCTTTTTGTTAATATTGTAGCCGGAGCTTTATAAGCCGCCGGGCTAACAGCAAACTACACGTGAAAAAAAAAACTCTTTCCTAAAATTCCGGCGATACATTTGTAAGCCCCCTGGAGTTGCAGGTGTTCATGGGCGGCGGTTGTCACTTTTCATCAGGTGAGCCTCCTGGACGTTCGCCCAAAAATGGGATGGATGCCAAGGGAATATACGGCTCAGGGCACCACCTAGCCTGGAAGTCGCGGAACAAAATATGTGTTTATTATCATCAGTCTACAGTGGTAGGGCCACGCAGCAGCCTCGGCTGTTGCACGAATGGGCAGGCTCGTCCGGGTAAGTACCACGACCTCACACAAGACCAGCGTATAGTGGAAGTACGACAAATACTTTCGCGTTTCGTCTGGTGAGTGAGGTAGCCGGAGCCCAATTTTCAACAGGTTGTCAACAAATTGATTTGAAGAAATCTTGCATCACCCGTAGGGTTGCAACCACCTTTAAATAAAGTGGGCTCTGGCCACCTGAACAGCCAGATCGCTTGCCTCTTTCTCACATTAAAAAAATATCTCTTTCAGGTGGATAGCCGCCGAGACCCAGTTGCCGGTCTCCTTCCGCCACCTGATCCTTCCGGAGAAGAACCTGCCTCCCACGGAGCTCCTGGACCTCCAGCCGCTGCCCGTGTCCGCACTACGGAACCTCAAATACGAGGCGCTCTACAACGAGACCTTCCCGCAGTTCAACCCGGTGCAGACCCAGGTGAGGAGGGGGGCTAGTTATGGACTTACACCTCGGCTCATGGAATAGGGCTTAGGTTTTCCAGTCGGAAAAATACATCTGTTTCACGTACGAAAGAGATGCACTACTGGTACTGCTTGTTGTCTCGCTAGAGACAAAACACGAGGTGTTAGGGAATTGGAGAAGATTGAAACTTTGACCCCGTCCCTCATGAGTCCTTTCCAATATACAGACGCTGGACGCCGTGTCTGTATCGGTAAGAACCCTACATAATCCTATCTTACCTGAACATGTTGTTCATTTTTATGATTTCCCATTTGATGCCATAAAACATATGGTGTGACGGTCATGAACCAGTCTCATAGTGCCCAGTTATAGAAATTTTTTATTTCATCATCATGAGGTCGGTTTTGGCTATGTTTTTACGACCAACCACCTGCCTGTCCGTAAAGTGGCTCCCATCCGATCTCAATACCGCGTTCGTTCCACGCCGTTCCAGGTGTTCAACGCGGTGTACAACTCGGACGACAACGTGTTCGTGGGCGCCCCCTCCGGCTCGGGCAAGTCCGTGATCGGCGAGCTGGCGCTGCTGCGGCTGCTGTCGAGCAACGCGAGCGGCCGGGCGGTCTACCTGCTGCCGAAGGACGCGCTGGCGGACATCGTCTTCGCCGACTGGTACCACAAGTTCGGCGCCAAGTTCAACCTGAAGGTGGGCGGGTCGGTTTCTACGCGAGAAGGCGGCAAGCGAGCATGGATAATTTTTTTTTTATTAATCTCATTTTTTTTTTAAATAAAAACTGCCGCTACTTTAGGATAATATTATCCTGTGTTGTAATGACCTTTAACAAACATAAATTTCACGCGGACAAACACCCAGATGCGAAACAAATATCTGTGGGTGACACAAATAGTCATCAATTATTGCAATTTTATATTATTTATTGCAGTAGGCCCACGCAACAGTTTTCAATGTTGCATGATTGGGAAGGTCCGTCCGGGTAATTACCGCGACCTCACAGAAGACCGGTGTGAAGTAGAAGTGTTACACTTGTGCGTTTCGTCCGGTGAGTGAGGTAGCCAGGGCCCACTTTATTTAAAGGTGGCAACGCGACATTGGTGTTGCAAATGTCCATGGGCGGCGGTTATTACTTAACATCAGGTGGATCGCCAGATCGTTTGCCAATTTTTCACATTAAAAAAAATATCAATCTTGCAGATATTCAGTGATACGTGTAAATTTTTTTCAAGAACGTTAAGTCTTAACTCCGTCATTTGTGAAATGATTTCGAATCCTCGCTTTGGTCTTGGCTTGAATGTTATCATTTGTGATGGTTGGTCCGACCAAGGACCAACGAAAAGTGATGTGCTTTTTTTCATTATAAATTGCATCCCAATTTATAATGAAAAAAAGCAAGCGATTCTGTGGTTAAATGGTTATCTGGTGTTAACCTCCAATTGACATATAGAACACCTGAGGGATGCAAGTGCGTTGGTGTACAAACAGAGTACCCAAACTACCTCACTCACCAGATGAAACAAAAAAGTATAATAATTCACCTGCACTTTTGTGAGGCTGAGCTTCTACCGTAGTATGTTTTAACTCATGGTTGGTCGTCATGTGGTAAAACTTCGTGTTTTTACTTGGTAAGATTCTAAAAGGAGTAATAGATGTATGTTTATTGTAAACTGGTAATTTGAAATGGACAAAGTTGAAAGAGAATATTTTTTTTTTTGCTTCAGGTGGTACAGTTAACTGGTGAAACAGCCACCGACCACAAGCTTCTGAACAAAGGCCAAATCATAATAAGCACAGCTGAGAAGTGGGATGTACTGTCTAGAAGGTAAGCACGGAGAAGAATCAACAGATGGGACATATATTTGAGGTAGACTTGCCTGCTTTGAATTTACCTTTTTTTAGTGTATGTATTTTTAGTTAATAAATATTTTTTTTTAATAAGATTTAATTAATAATTTAAAAATATATATTAATAGAGAAGGACTATTACATAAAAAGATGTGTTGAATTATACCCACTTGGTTCATTTTTTTTAATCAGATAACAAATCTGCGTTCAACATTGATCAGAAAATTTGCTCAAGGCCAATAAAGATCTTTTGTTCTGTATGTTTTGTTGTTAAAATCTCTCTTACTCGGTACATGGTACTGCATGAACAATTGGTCTTCTATGCAAGGAGGTAGTGAGAGATCAGACTTATAAGTAAAGTAACAGTCAATACACTGCAAACCAAGTTTAAATTTATGTGCCGGTACCAGTGAAATGGTTAATTGCAATTTGTGATGATTGTTAACAATTTCATTGGTGCCGATGCTGGGATTAGAACTCTGGTTGCTTGAGTATATTTAATTCAAAGCGAGTGCCTGGCCACTAAGCTATCAGGACTCTTGTTTATCATCAATGCATTCATAATAATTTCTTGTATTTACGCGATTACACATTATAAATGAAACTAATTTTCCTAGACTACTAAAATTAAAAATAAACGCGATAAATCCGTTAAATTAGTTTAATTTATCAATGCATTCAATTGAAAAAATTAGGAGACATATGTTTTTACAATATATAACAAGTGTACACATCGTTTTTTTTTTAAGCGAGTAAGAGTTGACAGTGTGATCGTGTTCGCAGGTGGAAGGTGCGGAAGAGCGTCCAGAACGTATCACTGCTGGTGGTGGACGCTCTGCAGTTGCTCGGCGGCGAGGAGGGACCAGTCCTGGAGGTCGTCTGCTCCAGGATGCGCTACATATCCTCGCAGATAGGTCAGTGACCTCCCCCTCCCCCTCCACCCTCTCTACGAACAAAATGCAACCCTGCTCATGATTGATTGCTGTAGTGTATAGTGAAATTGCCTCTTGTACCACGGGATTATCTCTGGTAAATTATTGTGCGAGGGAAATTGGAAAAGTGTAATGTTCGATTGTTATATATCTATGTATGGTAAATATATTACTGCAGAAATTTATTTTATCAGTTAGTAGTACCCATAGTTCTTTGCTCCAGTTTGGGACTAGACAAGTGATCGGGTCCTGGAAATGCGTTTTAAATGAAAGTATTATCTTTTTACAGTTTTAAATGAATTATAATTTATGTAAAGCTCACCGATGAAGATGCAAATTACTAAAATGGGGTAATTTTATAGAATGTCATTTAATTATTATTTTTTATTATTAAGTAAATTGTTTCTTTTACCGAATTACTTAATTGTACTGATATAAATAATAATAGCTTTTATTCATACACAAAAAGCATAGTTACAAAATAATAGAGTTACTGTTCTGATCATTAAGAAGATCATTCTGATCAATTCAGAGAGTTTAACAATTCTTTTGGCAACTCAAATAACATTTTAAAAGCCGAAAAAAGATCTGGGTTTCAGAAACCGGGCGTTAAGTTAACAACTCTGTTGAGTCGATGACATCGACAACTTCGTCTGTTTGCCTCCAAAGGCTCTGTTTAGAGCTTTCCTTGTCCATAGTTTTCCTGTCATTCGTATCTGTCTGCCTCGTTTCCATTTTTGATTTCTATGGCGTGCACACAGCGCTATGTTTAAATATGTTCAAATGGGAATTAAAAATATATATTAATACAGAAGGACTATTACATAAAAATATAAAATAATAAAAATATGTGTCAAATTATACCCACTTTTTTTTTTTTTAAATTAGATAACAAATCTGAGTTCATCATTAATAGAAAAGTTTTATGTTTTGTCTTTTCGATCAGAAATTTGCATGCGTCCCCTTTCTTCAACAACACAGCTCAAGGCCAATAAAGATCCTTTGTTCTATATGTTTTGTTGTTAAAATCTCTTACTCGGTATGTTAAAACGTGTCCCGGTATGTTTTATTAGTTTTTATATCGATTTTGCAGGAAAACCCATCCGCATAGTGGCGCTCTCCCTGCCGCTGGCGGACGCGCGCGACGTCTCCCAGTGGCTGGGCTGCAACGCCAACGCCTGCTTCAACTTCCACCCGAGCGTGAGACCTCTGCCTCTGGAGCTGCACATACAGGTCGGTCGCCCCCCTCCCCTCGTTCTCTCCCCTATCGGGGAAGAGAGAGGGGCATTTGTGGGAGAATGGAGATGCACTTCTCCCCCTACAATCCACCGTCTACTTTACTAAAAATTGCAGCCAATAGAAATTCATATCACGTCGATCAGTCAGTTTAACTAACAAATGAGTTCATATTTGTTTGAAGATAACTTTAACCTTGTTTGAAGTCGCAGTAGAAGTTTCACTTCAAAAGTGCGTTTAAGTATAAATTTTAAAGTTTTTTATAGTGCTAATCTCTGCACTTAAGATTGAACGTTAAAACGTGTAGAAAAAGTAGGAAAAGATTGTCGCCGCTGTGGTAATCGAACCCACGTCTTCGGCGACAATCTTTTTGTACTTTCTGTACATGTTTTAATGCGTTCAAGTATGTTTATCATTCATCCAGTGTCCGTATCCGCAGGGCTTCAACATCTCGCACGCCGCGTCGCGGCTCGCCGCGATGACGAAGCCGATCTACAGCGCGGTGTGCCGCTTCGCGGGCGGGCGGCCGTGCGCCGTGTTCGTGCCGTCGCGGCGGCACGCGCGCCTGCTCGCCGCGGACCTGCTGGCGCTCGCGGCCGCGGCGGGCCGCCCGGCCGGCTTCCTGCGCGCCAGGCCCGACCTGCTCGCGCCCTTCCTCGAGCGCGTGCGCGACAAGGTGCGGTGGGGGGGGTTGGGGGGGGGGGGGGGGGCAGAGGTCGCTCTTGGGCCGCTGCAGTTGCACGGGGACTTGCGGGAGGGGGGGGGGGGAATACATATTAGGCGAGGTGCGTCGCCGCGGTCGCAAGGAAGTGGTGGGAGGGGGGGGGGGGGGGGGTAGTATCGCTCTTCGATCGTGCGCGGTGAGGGGGGAGTACATGTAGCTCTTGGGGCGAGGTGCGTCGCCGCGGTTGCAAGGGGGCTGGGCAGAGGGGGGAGTAGAGGTCGCTGTTGGGGCGAGTGAGATCGCGGTGGGTGGCGCGAAAAAGTGGTGGGGGGGGGGGAGCAGAGGTCCCTCTTGGAGTGAGGTGTGTCGCTGCCGTCGCAATGGGAGTAGAGGAAGCTGTTAGGGCGCGTGCGCGGCGAGATGCGCCACTTCGGCCGTAAGGGGCGGGCTCAATGGGGGGGTGGGGGGTGGAAACGATGTTCACCTCGCATCGGTCTTGGCTGCAGAGGAGAGAAGGGAAGGGGGAAGCCCATTCGCGTCGTTTATGGAACGCGTGCTCGACAAATTGTACCTCTTAGGCTCGCTTATGTGCGTCACAGTTCGCGTCGTTCTTGGAATGGGTACAGCACAAAGGCGTCGCTTAATCAGTATAAATATAAAAATGTAAACGAAAAATCGGGAGAATCTGGGAAGGGAAACGATTACCTTTGCTACGATATGGAGCGGAGAGAAACAATTTATTTCAAAGAAATTGCGACAACTAAGCGTGTTGCATGTTATATCTGTACCTCAGAGGCATGCAATAGCAACTCCACATTTTTCCAAAATTATTCTTTTGTTTACACAATTAAAATCGCAAGAACAAATTCTACAAAATACTATAAAGCATTAGTCCTACGACGCCTGATTAATAAAATATCCAATCGTATATGTCATCATAATGAATAATGCATTCAAGGATTCACACACGCATTTTTGCCTCTGCTGTAAAAAAAATTGTTTTCTCACATAACGCTGTTTACCTCCGAGGTACAGATATGAGGGTTTATATCGCCCACTAAATATCATCGCATGTCCATATGCAACGACGGTGGCAATAGCTCATATTCTCAGATGCTGAAGGAGACGCTCGCCGCCGGCGTGGCGTACCTGCACGAGGGCGTTGAGCCTTCGGACAGGCGGCTGGTGCAGCAGCTGCTGGGCCTGGGCGTGGTGCAGCTGTGCGTGGTGGCGGCCGAGCTGGCGTGGGCGTTCGCCGCCCACGTGCACACCGTCATCGTGGCCGACACGCACGTGTCAGTACGCACGCGCACGTAACGAACGCGCACGCACGCACTCACGCACGCATTAGAACTCGTCTTCGTCGCCTTCGTTTTTTTTTATGGTTTATTTTTATTTATTTAATCTTTATTGCACCTAAAATTGTACAAAGGCGAACTTTTAATGCAATACTGTATTCTCTACCAGCCAACCCTAAGTAAAACAGAAAGAGAATGACTAGGGCAGTAAAGTAGAATTAAACACTATGCATATAATAATGGGTAAGAAATTCTAGTAATACCTATATATACATATACATACATACATGTTTATACATAAATTCATATATACACATATATAGTAAATATTTATATAAAATATTTATGCGGTATATATATATATATATGTATAACGGTAAAGTGGGACCCTATTACTAGGACTCCCCTGTCTGTCTATGTCTGTCTTTCACCAGACTTTATCTCATGAACCGTGATAGTTAGACAGGGGAAATTCACAGATGATGCGTTTCTGTCGTCGCTACAACAACAAGTACTAAAAAAAAAAACAGAATAAAAATATTTAAGTGAGGGGCCCCTATCCACCATAAATATCCAAAATATGATTTTTTTGACGTTTTTAGAAATGATGGTACGGAACTTTTCGTGCACGAGTCTGACCAGAAATTGACCTGTGTTATTTATGCGAGCCATTTAATTCGATTCACTCGAGCAACCCGAGTTCGATCCCCGGTGCCGGCACCTTAACAAGAAAATAGCCCCTCAACATGTTCGCATACAATCAAACTGCATGCCAACCTTAACAGGCAAATAGTCCCCTTGCACCGCGATAACGGGCCCTCCCCCCAACTTTCAGTTACAACGGCAAGCTGCACTCGTACGAGCAGTACCCGATCACCACGGTGCTGCAGATGCTGGGCCGCGCCTGCCGCCCGCTGGAGGACGAGCGCGCCGTCGCCGTGCTCATGTGCGCCGCTCACCACAAGCCCTTCTTCGCCAAGCTGCTCAACGACTGCCTGCCGCTAGAGGTGCGCTCATGTCCTTAGCCACTATTGCCATCTCTCTCTCCGCGTGCCCCATCTCTTTTTCCGCCAAAATGCTCAACGACTGCCTGCCGCTAGAGGTGCGCTCATCTCCTTAGCCACTATTGCCATCTCTCTCTCTGCGTGCCCCATCTCTTTTTCCGCCAAAATGCTCAACGACTGCGCCGCTAGAGGTGCTAGAGGTGCGCTCTCTCTCCTCACCTCTATGACTGCCATGCGCTCTCTCTCTATTGCCATCTCTCTCTGCCCCATCTCTTTTTCCGCCAAGATGCTCAACGACTGCCTGCCGCTAGAGGTGCGCTTATCTCCTCACCTCTATCGCCATCTCTCTCTCCGCGTGCCCCATCTCTTTTTCCGCCAAGATGCTCAACGACTGACTGCCGCTAGAGGTGCGCTTATCTCCTCACCTCTATCGCCATCTCTCTCTCCGCGTGCCCCATCTCTTTTTCCGCCAAGATGCTCAACGACTGACTGCCGCTAGAGGTGCGCTTATCTCCTCACCTCTATCGCCATCTCTCTCTCCGCGTGCCCCATCTCTTTCTCCGCCAAGATGCTCAACGACTGACTGCCGCTAGAGGTGCGCTTATCTCCTCACCTCTATCGCCATCTCTCTCTCCGCGTGCCCCATCTCTTTTTCCGCCAAGATGCTCAACGACTGACTGCCGCTAGAGGTGCGCTTATCTCCTCACCTCTATCGCCATCTCTCTCTCCGCGTGCCCCATCTCTTTCTCCGCCAAGATGCTCAACGACTGACTGCCGCTAGAGGTGCGCTCATCGCTTTAGCACTATCGCCCTCTCTCTCTCTCTCCGCGTGCTCCATCTCCTTCTTCATCAAGCTATTCAACGACTGAATGAACATGAACAATACCGGACTAAAATATCTCACCAATAAATTCCATCGGGACCTAAATGACACCACATGGCAGATAAACTAAAACCAAAAACAAAAAAAAATATAATCGGCTAATTATGAATGACGGATTTCCGAGGTAAAAAAAAAACATAAATTATTTCTTATGTAAAAAGAATCCCCCTCCTTTTTGAAGTCGGTCTAAAATGAAAACAAAAATAATGATAAGCGTTCTCTTTGGTTTCCCCAGAGCCACTTGGACCACAGGCTGCACGACCACATGAACGCTGAGATAGTGACGAAGACCATAGAGAACAAGCAGGACGCCGTGGACTACCTCACGTGGACGTTCCTCTACCGGCGGCTCACGCAGAACCCCAACTACTACAACCTGCAGGGGGTCACGCACAGGTACTGTCGCTCGGGCCCTCGATTCGATTCCCGGAGAGATAATTTGCACCTCTACAGCCCATTCGCCTGGGCACCGGGTGAACGGATAATTTTCACAATAGAGCCCCCGTGGCCCAGTTGCCAAGGTGCTGGCTCCGACGTCGGGGGTCGTGGGTCCGATTCCCACACGGGACGAGTGTCTGTGTGACAGACCGATGATTGTTTCGGATCTGGGCGTTTTTCCACGTGCGTTAATGTTTGTAAAACGTCAATATTTAATAAATAGATTAAGATATAAACGAGATCGAAATACGAAAGCTGATACGAAACTTTGGAACAAATCAAACCAACTAATACTAGACAAACAAAATATACGATATAAAAAATTTGTTAGAACGTTGTACACCATAAACAAACCGGTGAAAGCTGAACGCGGGTACAACGCCTCACCGCTGCCACGGCCGCCTCATCTGCCACGGCCGTCGTAGCTGCCACGGCCGCCACGCGTGCTCAATTTTGACACCTTCCACCACAGGCACCTCTCCGACCACCTCTCCGAGCTGGTGGAGACCACGCTCTCGGAGCTGGAGCAGTCCAAGTGCATCGCCATCGAGGACGAGATGGACGTGAGGCCGCTCAACCTTGGCATGATAGCTTCATACTACTACATCAACTACACGACGATTGGTGAGTTGCGAAATTGGTGGGGGGGGGGGGGGGGAGCAAAGGAATTGATTTGTATTAGAGAAGTCTGAAGATAACGTAAGCCGTTTAGCTCAGTCGCTAGAACGTACCATAGGATGTTTTTTTTTTTTTTATGTGATAAGTTGCCAAGACGACTCACCTGATGTTAAATGAATACCGCCGCCCATGGACATCTGCTACACACGAGGGTCCCAGATGCGTTGACAACCTTTTGAGAATTGGACACCGGCCACCTCACTCACCAGACGAAACGCGAAAGTATTATACTTCCACTTTACGCCGGTCTTCTGTAAAGTCGTGGTACTTATCCGGACGAGCCTGCCCATTCGTGCAACCGCCGAGGCTGCTGCGTGGCCCTACCATCGTGTGCTAGTATTTTGAAAATCCATATCCGAGTGCAATGCTCCTATGTTGATGAAAGATATTTATTTATATATTTATGTATGTCACTAAGCCGTGATAGCTAAGAGCCGTGATAGCTCAGTGTCCGGGCGCTCGCCTTTATTTCAATATACTCGAGCAACCTGAGTTCGATCCCCGGTGCCGGCACCGATGGAGTTTTTAACTTTAAGTGCTGACTTATCACGTGCTCCGCGGTGAAGGAAAACATCGTAATAACAAAAAAAATATTTCGAAGATATGTGAAGTCCGCCAATCCGCAGTGGAGCCGCGTGGTGGACTATGCCCTGATACCCTCTGTATAGAGGAGGCCTTTGCCCAGTAGTGGGACATGTATAGGCTGTTACTTTACTTTTTTTTTGTATGTTACTAATGCACCACCTACATAGTAAACGTTCCTTTACGCCATTGGTTGCCTGGAAGAGATCGTTATGAAGCGATAAGGCCGCCGAATTGTGCATTCCATTAATTTGTTTGTCTATTGTTAATTTTGTGTGTCCTCTTATGTGTGGTGGACAATGGAGTATTCATTCATTCATTCATTCAAGGACATTTGAATTTCCATAGAGCTGTTCAGCCTGTCGCTCACCAGCAAGACCAAGATCCGCGGTCTCCTGGAGATCATCTCTTCGGCGGCAGAATACTCTGATCTGTGCATCAGGCACAAAGAGGAGAACATCATCAAGACCCTCGCCGCCAAGTGAGTATACCACCAGGTCAAATAGGCCATTTTTGAAGTTATACTTCTTTAGGCGCGTTATGAAGAAATTACGCGTGTGAAGTTTTAATATGTAACACAAAAGTCACACTTTTGAAGCTGACCGCCGATTCTTATAGATGGCGGCATATCCTCAATCACTTTTCCCCGTTTGAGTTCTCATTAAAGAATATAGATGGCGCTCTCATAATTTTGCTCTTCTTTTGAACATTTGTATGCATAAGTGTATATCATCTATACCCGAGTTCATTGTTTTGTCAAGGTCAGTTTTTTAAACGATGCTTGATTTTCTTTCGTTACGCCAAAGAAGTATAACTTCTCACGTGCGTACGTAAGTACACACAAACTTTTGTTTTTAATGTGAGAATGTGGCAAGCGCGCTGGCTGGTTCACCTGATGTTAAGTGATAGCAGACGCCCATTGACATATGCGACACTTGGTCTTCACGCCGGTCCTCTGTGAGGTCGTGCAACGGCGAAAACTGTTGTATGCCTCTACCACCGTAATAATAGTTATAGTTATGTATAAATAAAACAAAATAATTATATCAGCAAAAATTTTCGGGTAACAAACTAAAACTAATGTTGTATTGGTGGGATGGCAGTCAAGTGCTGGCCAGTTTAGAATTAAAAAAAAAAACAAAAAGCAATCGGTACTAGGTAATTGATAAACATACTTTTTTTTGTAAAGAGGGTCTTTATTAAAAGAGGGTCCCGGCTGCCTCAGTTACCGATACAGACGAGATATGAAATTATAATACTTCCACTTTACGCCGGTCTTTTGGAATATCTTGGGACACCCTGACGGACCTGCCTATTTGTGCAACAGCGAACACTGTTGCTTGGCTCTACCACGGTTACATCTAATACTAAGGGTTACAATGGGTGGACTTAATACATAATAGTATCTCCAGTCAAGCCTTGTTATTGTGAAAAAAAGACGGCAGGTGCTAAACGAATATTATAACAAGGAGATTCAATTTAAAAAAAAAACTAAAAAACCTGACTGCGTCTGTAATTTGGAAATGATTTCGATATACCCAGTGTCGCTCTCGCAGTAAACACGAATCTAACGACACCTCTCAAGCGAAAGATCCATAAAGCCGCTCAGGCTGCAGAGCGTGCCAAACAATCATACATACATACTCTCAAAAAACATAACCCTCTTCGCGCAGTCGGGTAAAAATAGATAGTGAATAAACTTCCACCGAAAAAAACGCAGTCCACGCTGCAGAGCGTGCCGAACAAACATACATACGTACATACTCTCGAAAAACACAACCCCCCTTCTCGCGCAGTCGGGTAAAAATATAAAGGTGGATAAACCGCTCGGTCCATCCGTTGACACTGCTCCCCTCGTCCAGGGTGCCCCACAAGCCGGCGGCGGGGCCCGGCGGGGGCGCCCCGCGCTACAACGACCCCCACGTGAAGGCGCACGTGCTGCTGCAGGCGCACCTCTCGCGGATGCAGCTGCCCGCCGAGCTGCAGGCGGACACCGCCGTGGTGCTCACCAAGGTAGGCCGGGGTCCGAAGCGGAGGGACAGGTGGAGTCCAAAGGTCCAGTTGAGTGGTGCTCACCAAGGTAGGCAGGGTTCCGAAGCGGAGGGACAGGTGGAGTCCAAAGGTCCAGTTGAGTGGTGCTCACCAAGGTAGGCCGGGGTCCGAAGCGGAGGGACAGGTGGAGTCCAAAGGTCCAGTTGAGTGGTGCTCACCAAGGTAGGCAGGGTTCCGAAGCGGAGGGACAGGTGGAGTCCAAAGGTCCAGTTGAGTGGTGCTCACCAAGGTAGGCCGGGGTCCGAAGCGGAGGGACAGGTGGAGTCCAAAGGTCCAGTTGAGTGGTGCTCACCAAGGTAGGCAGGGTTCCGAAGCGGAGGGACAGGTGGAGTCCAAAGGTCCCAGTTGAGTGGTGCTCACCAAGGTAGGCCGGGGTCCGAAGCGGAGGGACAGGTGGAGTCCAAAGGTCCAGTTGAGTGGTGCTCACCAAGGTAGGCCGGGGTCCGAAGCGGAGGGACAGGTGGAGTCCAAAGGTCCAGTTGAGTGGTGCTCACCAAGGTAGGCAGGGGTCCGAAGCGGAGGGACAGGTGGAGTCCAAAGGTCCAGTTGAGTGGTGCTCACCAAGGTAGGCAGGGTTCCGAAGCGGAGGGACAGGTGGAGTCCAAAGGTCCAGTTGAGTGGTGCTCACCAAGGTAGGCCGGGGTCCGAAGCGGAGGGACAGGTGGAGTCCAAAGGTCCAGTTGAGTGGTGCTCACCAAGGTAGGCCGGGGTCCGAAGCGGAGGGACAGGTGGAGTCCAAAGGTCCAGTTGAGTGGTGCTCACCAAGGTAGGCAGGGGTCCGAAGCGGAGGGACAGGTGGAGTCCAAAGGTCCAGTTGAGTGGTGCTCACCAAGGTAGGCAGGGTTCCGAAGCGGAGGGACAGGTGGAGTCCAAAGGTCCAGTTGAGTGGTGCTCACCAAGGTAGGCCGGGTTCCGAAGCGGAGGGACAGGTGGAGTCCAAAGGTCCAGTTGAGTGGTGCTCACCAAGGTAGGCCGGGGTCCGAAGCGGAGGGACAGGTGGAGTCCAAAGGTCCAGTTGAGTGGTGCTCACCAAGGTAGGCCGGGGTCCGAAGCGGAGGGACAGGTGGAGTCCAAAGGTCCAGTTGAGTGGTGCTCACCAAGGTAGGCAGGGTCCGAAGCGGAGGGACAGGTGGAGTCCAAAGGTCCAGTTGAGTGGTGGTGCTCACCAAGGTAGGCCGGGGTCCGAAGCTGAGGGACAGGTGGAGTCCAAAGGTCCAGTTGAGTGGTGCTCACCAAGGTAGGCAGGGTTCCGAAGCGGAGGGACAGGTGGAGTCCAAAGGTCCAGTTGAGTGGTGCTCACCAAGGTAGGCCGGGGTCCGAAGCGGAGGGACAGGTGGAGTCCAAAGGTCCAGTTGAGTGGTGCTCACCAAGGTAGGCAGGGTTCCGAAGCGGAGGGACAGGTGGAGTCCAAAGGTCCAGTTGAGTGGTGCTCACCAAGGTAGGCCGGGGTCCGAAGCTGAGGGACAGGTGGAGTCCAAAGGTCCAGTTGAGTGGTGCTCACCAAGGTAGGCCGGGGTCCGAAGCGGAGGGACAGGTGGAGTCCAAAGGTCCAGTTGAGTGGTGCTCACCAAGGTAGGCAGGGGTCCGAAGCTCCGGTGGAGCCGACACGTGGTAGGACAGGGTCCGAAGGTCTGGTGGAACCCATTGGCGGTAGGCCAGGCTGAAGGGTGGCACCTGTCATGTCAGTACGGGAGTCGATGTTTTGATGTTCACCCAGGGCACGGTTCCAAACGCGGAGGCCTGGTGAAATACATTGACGGCACACTGGGCTGAAGAGCTGCACTTAGTCGTGTCAGCACGGAAGCTTATGTCCTGATGCTCACCAAGATATGGGTCCAAAGCCATAGGTCCGACGAAGCCCGTGCAAGTCCGTGATCGAAAACCGACCTGTACCCCCATCAATACGTCAAAATATTATGCGCAGGCGATCCGGCTGATCCAGGCGTGCGTGGACGTGGTGTCGAGCAGCGGCTGGCTGTCGCCGGGCGTGGCGGCCATGGAGCTCGCGCAGATGGTCACGCAGGCCATGTGGGCCAAGGACTCGTACCTGCGCCAGCTGCCCCACTTCACCAACGAGATGGTGCAGCGCTGCGCCGAGAAGGTGACCCTCGCCTTCTCCGAGCGCCGACACCGCCACCCCACCACCACCTTCCAGGCGATACTGATTCGCACTCTAAGCGATATAATTAACGAACCCATTGGGTAGGGAAGAAATTAACGACCACACTTCACCATCGACATGGTGCGGCGCTGCGCCGAGAAGGTGACCCTCGCGCTCGAGCACCGCCACCGTCACCCCACCACCACCCACTAAGCAACATACTTGACAACCACATTGGTTAGAGAACAAAGAGTTGACAACCACACTTCACCAGTGGGAAGGTGACCCTTGCACTGGAGAGAAGACGCCGTGACGCAGTTGCCAAGCCATAGGCTTCGGCGCTGGGAGTCGTGGGTTCGATTCCCACACGGGACGACCATTTGTTCGACACACTGATAATCGTTACGGATTGACAACTGGGTGTTTGTCCACGTGAAATTTGTGTTTGTGTCGTCAACGTCCTTACAACACAGGATAATGTTGTCCTATACAGGAAGGGCAATGTTTAATCCACAAGTCCATTTTTTTAATAAGGAAAAACGAAACCGACTTTAAATATCTAGGTCTGTATTCATTTTATTATTGACTAGCTGCTACCCGCGACTACGTCTGCGTAGAATAGGCTTAAGGCGTAACATTCAGGCAGAAGGACTGATATACATAAAATATGTATATAAATTATAGCCTATGTCTTATTCTGATGTATAAGCTATATTATTGTAAAGTTTCATTAAAATCCATTCCGTAATATTTGCGCGAAAGAGTAACAAACATCCATCCATACATACAAACTTTCGCATTTATAATATTAGTAAGGATTTACAGGAGTTCTCCCTAAGTATCTCTGGAGCCCAAGGTCCAATACCAATGAAATTAATATGGGACCACATGGGAAGCACCAGCTCCAAAATAAATACAGTCGAATTGAGAAGCTCAGCCTTTTATGAATTCGAAAATAGAAAAAATCTAATCGGCCCAGCAGAGCCTCCGTTTCAAACTTACATTTTAACACGGAGTTTTCCAATTCAATTGTAAGTTTATTTTTATTTATTACTGCTTTTGTGTTTATTACTTTATTTCTTTGTTTAATAACTCGGAACTGCATTGTTTATTAAATGACATTAACAATTCTTCTAGCACTGGGTTCTTCGTATCTCCAATGTGGTACCTATGACTAGAGTTGCATCAGCAAACTATTTAAATCAAATACGAAATGCATAGTGACACAGTTAAAATCCAATTTGCTTTTTGCTAGTAAAATGTTTCACTTGTATATAAAATATCAGAAAATATCGGAAAACAATCCTTTTGTGTAAATTATAATATCCTTTATGCATAATGCAATCCTCTCGAGTACATACGAAACGTGTGTTAAGAAAAAAAATCGCATTAAAGGTTTAATGTAAAAAAAGTAACCAAGCTTTAAAAACGCTAAATTAACTTTAAAAGACGCGAATTTTAACTAATTTAATTCTCATTTTTTAAAACGACTCCTAAAGCGAAAGCTTTTGGACAAAAATACCTACAATATATTATCACTTGTAAATTTAATGTATTTATATACTATATAAAATATATTTAAAGATTAAAGAAAAAACAGTTTAAATGTCTCGTGCGAGAAATATCTTAACACACAATGTATTTCTACTATCAGTTTATATAAATTATTTCGTTTGATAGGTTAATCCTGAATGTAATTGGAAAACGATGAATACAAAAAGTTCGCAAAAAGCAAACGGGCTCGTCCGGGATTTGAACCCGGGACCTCTCGCACCCGAAGCGAGAATCATACCCCTAGACCAACGAGCCGATGCACATACGGTTGAATTTGCCTACCAGATGCATTAAACTCTGGTTTGTGACTGCCAGATATATAGATTTTTGTTAAAGGATATTTAATTTTGACAAAAATACCAGCGGACCCGTAAATCCGACAACAAATTATAAATGAAAAATAAGTTAAAACAACACTTTACGTAAATTTAAACCATTCGAATCCATTTTGAACACATACAAAATATTTAATCAATATCGGTCCAGCAGTTTAGGAGGATTTGTTTGATAGTAGTGGTCGAAATTCGACCATAATTAATAATAAATGTTTTTTTTTTAAAATGATTTAATGTATTTTTATGCAAAATTAAAAAAAAAACGTATTATATTCTTCACTCCTATATAAACTATAAGTGTGAGAAATTTCACACTCCTCCGTCCGCACAATTTTCTTAAAAAGGGTTGCGAAGTCTTCGTTTCGCGTTTTAATATATAGATATATAAAGATTCTCTGCGCTTATGTTGAAGCATCAGAAAAAAAAAAAAAAAACAAAAGGGTCATCTCTAGTTTTAAATTATCTCATTGTGAAATGTCGTATGAAAAAGTGGTTGTTTGCTGTATCGAAAACACAACTGGATGACGCCAGAATATTGCTTGAAAATGTAATAAAAAAACAACGTACTTATAAATACGTTGAGATTTTCGTCGGTGTGAAGACATACTTTAACGTCCGGTTTCTGAAGCACTGATCATCGTAGATGTCAACTAATCAGCTGTCAATGGATTTCAAATTACAATTTAAGTACCAAAAGGATGGTTAAACTTTCTGAATTGACCAGAATGATCTTCTTTATGATTAGAATGATCAATTCAAAGTGTTTAAACATCCTTTTGGTAACTCAAATGACATTTGAAATTCATTTAACAGCTGATTAGTTGACATCTACGTTGATCAGTGTTTCGGAAACCGGGCGTAAGAGCGGGACATTTTTCGTCCATTTTCAACCGACTTCAAAAAAGGTTCTCAATTCGACTGTATTATTTTCTTTATGTTTGTTACCGCAGAACTTCCAAGTGGGTGAACAAATTTTGATGATTCTTCTTTTATTTGAAAGTTGGTGCTGCCCACGTTGTCCCATATTAATTTTACTGGTGTTGTATCTTGGGCACCGAAGATACTTGGGGATCTCCTGAAAACTCAACTATAACAGGAATACGGAGCGAGATATTTGTCGGTTTTGTTTTTGGCTGATGAAAAAAAAATTGAATACATTTTTTTTGTTTAAATTGTACACACAGTTACGCGATTTATTTTCGCCCGCCCGAGTCGGTGTGCGGTGGACGCGGAGACGGGAATAATTGACCAACCACCCCCCCCCCCCCCCCCCCCCCCCCCCCCCCACTTGGGACCTCCGCAGGGCGTGGAGACGGTGTTCGACGTGATGGAGCTGGAGGACAACGCGCGTGCCAAGCTGCTGCAGCTGTCGCCGACCGAGATGGCGGACGTGGCGCGTTTCTGCAACAGATACCCCAACGTGGAGCTCACGTACGAGGTGGGTGGCTTTCTAGATTTTCTCTTTTCCCACGTGACTAACGACCCCGGCGGTTCACAAATGGCTACAATTGTATACCCATGTGATACTGGCCGCTCCTCGCGACTACGTCTGGCTGAAGGTGTAACATTCCAGACAGAAAGACAGAGATACATAGAAATTAGCCTATGTGTAAGCTATATTATTGTAAGGTTTCATTACATTCCATACAGTAGTGTTTGCGTGAAAGAGTAACAAACATCCATCCATGCGTGCAAACTTTTATAATATTAATAAGGGTTTATCCCCACGTGATCGTACAGAAATATTACACAAATTTAAAATACAAAATTACAATAACTGGAAACAATATTTTAATGAAAACTCTAAAATAAAAGGAATCTGGTATAAAACTTTGCAATCTGAGCCTCTTCATATACCGCGGTTTTCACAGTGTAATTATAATAGGAAAATTATAAAAATATTTTTAAGACTGGAAATATTCCATGGAACAAATTTGCATACATTATGAAAAAAAAAACAAACTCCAAATTGTAATTTTTTTTTCTTCGGTAAAAACACTGCCCTTACTTTAGGATAACATTATCCTGTGTTGTAAGGACGTTTTACAAACATAAATTTCACGCGGACAAACGCCCAGATGCGAAACAACTATCTGTCGGTCACACAAACAGTTGTCCCGTGTGGGAATCGAACCCACGACCCCCGAAGCCATCAAATATGTGTGCAGTTGAGGAGGATGTACAACATGCTTTGATGGAATGTGTCAAGAACAAAAAGGAGAGGAGAGGTAATGAATCAATCAATCAATCAATCAAAAATCTTTATTCAAATAGACGCTTGCGTGTGCATGAATCGTCAAATTTTACATAAAACATTATACATAGAGGTTTGTAAGGTATCACCTGTTCGGAAAGCAGTTTCTGTTGAGAAGAGACCGGCAAGAAACTCAACGGTTGCTCTTTTTCAAAGATATCGGTTTACAATATAAAATACCGGTATAATAGTCTCATTCTACCCTACGTAAGTATCAACAGTATTAACACCACACATTGGCGTCGTCGAGATATTCCGCAATAGTGTAATATGCTTTAACCATAAGTTGACTTTTGATTTTACGTTTAAATTGATAATGATGGGAGCCAACATGAACTCTTTCAATCTTGTCTCTGTCAATTTCAGATGATGCAAACTAAATTATGTTGTGCAGCTTCTATGTTCTCACAATAACTTATTTTTTAACTTATTTTTTACTCAAACTTATTTTTTAACTTTATTATGTTGATATAGTGTATTTCTAAGTATAGAAACGAGATGGTCACAATGGGGTTGACACATTCAAAATGGATAAAAACCCCGAAACAAATTCGGATTAAAAAAAACATATACAGCGTGTCGCGTTACCACCGCGACAATAAATGAACACACATATAGAGGATTACTTTTTAAAATTGTGTTAAACATTCTTCAACCATCAATATTTACCGAGTTATTAAATTTTCCAAAACAAACAATTTTAGAACAGCCTTACGTATAAAACTGTAACGTAAAGTTCATTTGTAAAGGTCACAAATCATATGAATGGGTTGAATGAATTTAAAAGAGACAAAACATAGTGTTAGAAGGAGAGGCTTGTAATGCAACGCTGTGGCGCGAATTGTATGGGTGTTACAAATTTTGTTTCTTTTTTAGTTAATTAGTTTGTTTGAAAAATATATTTCTTAATTATGGATTTTGTTTAACTTCAATTTTTTTTATGATTATTGGCAAGTAGCGTTAGACGTGTGTTCATTTATTGTCGCGATGGTAACGACACGCTGTACATTAGTAAGGATTAGTAACGAAGTAAGGATTAGTAAGTATAATATTAAAAACTCTAAGAGCGAACTGAAACAGCAGCTTTTGATGACTCCGTGGTGCAGTTGCCAAGGTATTGGCTTCGGCGTCGGGGGTCGTGGATTCGATTCCCACACGGGACAACTATTTGTGCGACCCACAGATAGTTGTTTCGCATCTGGGTGTTTGTCCTCGTGCAATTTATGTTTGTAAAACGTCCTTGCAACACAGGATAATGTTATCCTAAAGTGAGGGCAATGTTTTAAAAAAAAAGAAAAAAAAAAAAAAAAACAGCATAATTAATAACTGCATCATAATCATTAAAATAATAAAAAAAAATACTTTTGTAGTTTTCAAACTTGCAATGCAATCGTTTAACGTTTCGCTGTGTCGTTGCAGGTGAAGAACGAGAGGCGGCTGCGCGTGGGCAAGCCGATAGTGGTCGAGGTGTCTCTGGAGAGGGAGGACGATATCGTGGGACCGGTCATAGCGCCCTACTTCCCACAGGTGGGCAACGCATAATGAGCTCCGTTAAGGCATGCTTGAATAGATTTCAACAAGTTGTGACATATCTATTCCGAAGACGTGGGTTGTTTGATGAAGATAGTGTTTTTCCTGTGTCTCGGTGTTTGTATATTTATAATTATGTATTTATTTAAAAAAGAATAGTATGTTTAAGTATGTTTATCAGTTATCTGGTATCCATAGTGCAAATGTTGCTTAGTTTGGGACTGGAGAACGTTGTGTAAAAATGTGTCCTGAAATATTTATTTATCACTAGCGACCTGCCCCGGCTTCACACGGGTGCAATTTTTCATACTATATTTATAAAACATTGCAGCCGTGTGTAACCTTCAGTGTACACAGTTACACAGTACATTGTAAGAGTGTATGTAACCTTCCACTTGAATCACTCTAATTAAAAAAAAACGCATCAAGATCTAAGCATACATAAGGACAGACAGCGGGACGACTTTGTTATATACTATGTAGTGATATGTATTTATTTACAAAAGTGAAAGTATGCTTAAGTATGTTTTTTCAGTTATCTGGTATCTAATTATCCATAGTACAAGCGTTGCTTAGTTTTGCGACTAGAGAACGTTGTATTTAAATGTGTCCTGAAAATAAATCATCTCGATTACGATAGATACTTAAACGTTGAACGTATCGACTGCTGGTGTTCTTTTTAAACAAATAGATAAATAAACGCGATAAAACCCGCAAACCAGCTTCATTCAATATGCATAATATTCGCTTAAAATCAAGAAGTATATATACGTATATATATATTATTATTAATCTTAATTAAAAAAGAAATTAATCTTTATGCATTATTAATTTAATTTAAGTTATTCGTTTTCTGTCTTTTATAGCTTAACTTTGTGATAAGTGTACTTTACCCGCTTAGGTATTTTTTTAGTTTTTAATTACTTAATACGTTTTATTTTAAAATTTATTTTAGAGAAGTATTAAAATGCAATCGTAAACTTCAATGGGTGCAGTCTCGCCAGTAAACTGTATTCGCATATTGGCGAATTTAATGTTTTCTGAAACAAAATTGTATTTACTCTGTTAGTGAATAAATAAAAAAAAATACTTAATCCTTCTCCGCGCCCCGCAGAAGCGCGAGGAGGGCTGGTGGGTGGTGGTCGGCGAGCCGAAGAGCAACAGCCTGCTCTCGATCAAGCGCGTCTCGCTAGCGCGCGCCGCCCGGCTGCGGCTGGACTTTGTTTGCGGCGCGGCGGGCCGGCACGCGTACACCCTCTACTTCATGTCCGACTCGTATCTGGGGGCCGACCAGGAGTACAAGTTCACGGTGGACGTGGCCGATGCGCCGGCCAGCGACTCGAGCGGCTCCGAGTAGACCGAAGAGAAGAGGCGAAGAGAGGTGGTCTATGGTCTATCACCCCCCCCCCCCCCCCCCCCGTCCCCATCTCCAACGCCGCTCGTAGTTGAGAGTGTGAGGTGATGATAGACGACGGAGCGCCGCTGTGATGGGAAGAGTGGTGTTTCTATCGTCCGCGCCTCTCTTAGGATGGGGGAGGGGGTTGATAAAATACCGAGCCGACCCACGTATAGGCATGGGGGTGGGGAGGGGAGAGGTGAGAGGAAGGAATTAAGTGCCCATCTCGGAAGGATAATAAATTAAGTGCGAAAATATTACTGCGTTTTACTAGCAACCCGTAAGAGGGGAGTTACCCCTTCGCCTCCTCAATTGTGCGACATTCGGGGATAATACATTTTGTGCAAAAACATACGGTGTTTTTACTACCATCCGTGACTACCAAGCGTGATAAATCCGTAATCATAGTTTCCTTCAGTAACGTGTAATCGTGTAAGTGTAATCGAAATCGTGTAATCGAAACATCTCAATAATTGAATTACTACAGATATTTGCAGTGCTTAGAATCTTCTTCGACATCTAACCCTAAATATTTTTGGACATTTCTTAAACACAAAAGAAAAGGTAATAGCACTTTTCCAGGTTTAATGACTGCCGCGGACCGAATTGCTACCAAAGGACCCGATATATGTGACCTTTTCGTATCACAATTCTATTCAGTTTATAACACTTCATCAAATATTCCAAGCAAAGATGAGCTTTGTGTACCCACTGTTTCAAACTTTTTATCGACTTTATCTGTTACCAAAAATCATGTCTACATAGTGTTAAAAAGACTTGATATAAAGAAAGGAGCTGGTTCTGACGGGATACCGGATATTTTTGCCGTGAAATGTGCGAGTGCGCTGGCGAAGTGTGAGAATGTGTGAGTGCGAATTTTCCCGACTGTTTGGAAGGATAGCTTAGTAATAACCCTCCTAAAAAGTGGTGACACTAGCTGTGTAGAGAATTACAGACCGATATCAATGATTAATATTTTCTCAAAAGTATTTGAACAGATTACGTGTCCATTACTATCATGGCATCTTAAGCAACTTCTCGCACCAGAACAACACGGTTTCGTTAAAGGACGATCGACTACCACCAATTTGATATCCTTTGTCGAGGAACTTGTTGAAGGAATCGATGATGGAAAATCATTTCATGTTATATACACGGACTTCAGCAAGGCCTTCGACAGAGTAAACCACTGCATACTCCTGAATAAGCTTGAGTCACTTGGAACATCTGGAACTCTCCTGAATTGGTTCAAATCTTACCTTGAAAATAGAAATTCTGTAGTCGTAATAGGTGGTCACAAATCTAGACCATTCAGGTGTTCCCCAAGGTTCCCACTTAGGCCCTTTATTATATTTATAAATGACATAAATAATTTTTTTCGGAATTCTAGAGTTTATATGTACGCGGATGACCTAAAGTTCTTCAGGGAAGTAGACTCAGCTGAGGAAGAATCATTATTACAAAGTGACTTGAATAATCTTATTACGTGGTGTAGAAACAACGCGATGGATTTAAATGTCAGTAAATGCGTCATGTTTCGCTTCACTAGGAAAAAAAACATCTACTCCTAGAACATATCATATAAACGGCACGTTTTTGAGTATAACTGATCACATTAGGGATTTAGGGGTAATACTCGATAGTAAGCTGCAGTTTAATGTCCACATCGATAATTTTGTCAAAAAGTGTTTCAAAACCATAGGATTTGTTTTACGGAACTGCAAAGAATTTAAAAATCCTCGCACTAAAATTATTCTTTACTCGGCATTAGTTCGCAGCACTTTGGCGTCGTGTGGAACCCGCACTATGACATATATATTAAGCGGTTAGAGAGTGTTCAGAAAAGATTTCTATGGCATTTATCCTACAGTTGCAATTTAGCAAAAACTACCGAGCTATGATGACCGGCTAACATATTTTCTTATAGCATCGCTTTACCATCGAAGAAAAGAAAGCAGCTTGACGCCATTTTCCTGTACAAACTAGTCAATGGTTATATTGATTCTACCAAGCCACTAATGCAATTAAGTATCTCTGTACCTTCAAGGCTTCCTAGATAAAGAAAGTATAAACCATTCTGCACTAAGGCAGCGCGAACAAACTTGGGTCTACCTCTACATTCACCTCTCAACAGATTAATGACTACATACAACGCATTACATAATTCTAGTGTTAATGAGTCCCCTAAAAAACTGATGAACTTATAAATGTTGTGAGAACCAGTAATACGCGGCCGTAGCTAGGGGGGGGGGGGCATTGTAGGGCAATGCCCTACCTTAAAATCACAATGCCCTACCTTAAAAATACCAAAATAAAAATGCGTAAATATGACCACGTTTTTCAATTTCGTAAACGTCTCAAGTGATTTCCCATCCTACTTCACCGGAATTTGTATATTCTTTCTATGTTGTACCTACTGTGTTCTATTTCATGTTTCTATTCCACTTTATTTAAAGGAGAAATTTTAATTTGTAGGGCTTCTAGGGGAAGATCCTACCTTCTTCGAGGAAGCTCATTTTAATGGTGCCAAACCACAAAACGTAATTTTTTGTAAAATCTTTTACCGTACAGGCTTTTATTTTCTACTACTACATTATATACTATACTATTGCACAACCTACGTAGTAAAGTTCCTTTACGCCATTGGTTGCCTGGAAGAGATCGCTATGAAGTGATACGGCCGCCAAATTGAATTCCATTAATTTGTTTGTCTATTGTTAATTTTGTGTATCCTCTTTTGTGTGGTGGACAATAAAGTATTCATTCATTTATTCATTCAAAAACTAAGATACATTATTGTAATAAAAATTGTAGCGATAGGTATCCCAACTTTTCCGAACATACCACAGTTTGTCAAAATCAAAATAATTTATTTATGGACTTAGGAAACATACATTTCATCTATCGATAGTATTGTTTTCTAATCTACCACCGTTTCATCATGAGGTTCCTCTAACGGAGAAGAAACAGACGAAAGAAACTCCGCAGGTATCCTCTTATTCGTATTTTTTTTCTTAAAAAAATTTAAATATTATTAAAATTTTTCTTTCAACCGTTTTTTTTTCTTTCTTTTAGAAATAGCTTGGGTGCGATCAACTCATTACCAGTGTGTGTACATTCATTTCATATTCTAATAATTCTTTGTTCTGTGTACTCGTATAAAAAAAGTACCTGGAGGACCGAGCTTTGCTCGTTTTTTTTTGGTAAATAATGTATTTTGGAAATAAAAAAAAATAAAGAAAGCAATGATCAGGTCTAGAAATAAAGTAAAAAAAATAAGTGTGTGATCGTGATACGAACCGCAGCCGTCTGTTTTGGGGCCGCCCGATTACCGAGCTATTATAAATTTTTTTTTGCGGCGGAATTTACCGTCATATTCGAATGATATATTTCATTCCCTGAAAACAGGGATAAAAGGACATTTTCTAAAAATGAAACAGCTAGATCGATGCTTGGCCCCCGAATCTACGCACATACCATGAAAATCGCTGGAGCCGTTTCTGAGATTCTGATTATATATGTATATATATACAAGAATTGCTCGTTTAAGGGATAAAATAAAAATAAAATAGGCAATTGAATGATGATGATCTAATCAATTCGATTGCAAGTCTCGATGAGTTTGATGTAGATAAAATGCTTCCACTGAAAAGTTTGGGTAAGTTTAAAAAATTTAAAAATTCAAGTAGGCTAGTGTGTAGGGCCTTTGGAAAAAAAGGACAAAATCAGTTGATCTGAACGAAGTTCTTCGCATTTTTAATAACATGGCAAATCGAAAAATTCAGCTGTTTTAAATATTTTTATTATTATGTTAATTATTATAATAGGTCTGCAGAAACAATTTGATATGTGGTATTTTTGGTCGTATCATCTCATCCAAAAATTAATTATTACCTCACTCTCACTCAGACGTGGATCTCTACATCCAAAGCTGGAAGTTCAACCATCTTGTTCGCTTATTCTTCATCATTAAGGATTTAATAGTGCTTATATCCATGCTCATGTTCTGTCACAGAAATTATTTGTCTACGAATAGCTATTGAACTGACCTAGAGGTCAGTGATATACATGATTATTGATTTAGGAGCTCATGCTAGTTGGGGCAAATATCCCCTTATGGCCAACCGCTCCCCTGGGAGAAAAAGGTCAAATACTTAGGAGTCACTTTCGACTCGCGTATGTCATTTAATACGCACATTAATAACGTTCGAAATAGAGCCGCGTTCGTCTCCGGCCGACTACACAATTTAACTAACGCTAAAAGTAAAATGCCCTTAAGGCACAAATTATTATTTAATAATAATAAAGTATCTGGACCTGGCTCACGAGGTGAACGACATGTGGGGTGGTGTGCCGACCGAAATTATCCCGATAGTCGTGTCTGCGAATGGGTTAATCCCAGTCAGCCTCTCCAAACATCTGAGGCGACTGGGACTCCGGGACGGATCGTCCAAGCTCAAATGCAGAAGGCGGTGCTCCTCGATACCGCCCGCATCGTCCGCCGGTTTCTCCCTATCGCCCTAACCCTCGGCCGTTTGGTCTCCCCTGCCGAGGGCTTCCGTCTGGTTGGGTCCTATTTATATATGTATTATATACAACATTATATGTATATGTTTATTTTTATTCATAATATTTATTTTATACATATATGCAATATGTATCTATATTTTTATTTTTATTTATAAACCCAACCAGACGAGAAAACAAATGAATATCACCCCATAATAATAATAATACTCGTTTATTTGTCTAAATATACATACACTGCACAAAATATTTAAAGAGTAACATAAATAGAAAAAAAATAACAATTATTTAGACAAAATGGTCAAGGACTCAAAGTTGTAGCACGGAAGGTACACCAACTTTGATATTCTGCCCTAGCCAGACATAATTTACATAAAGAACACGCTTTATAATAGGTACTTACTAAAATATTATACATTAACTATTTATAT